CCTACTCCCCTTCCCGATACTTCAACTCCTGCCAGATGGAGCGCATCTGCCACACATCCATCGACACGACCTTCGCCTCGCCACCGATTGCGAAAAGTGAAATCCCGTTGCTCTCTTCTCGTAGCGGATAGACGCGGGCAACGGCACACTGCCGCGAAAACAGTGGAAATAGTTTGTCGATGCCATTTCTCGGAAATGCCCATTCTGGCAGACATTCCCCGTTGTCAGCAAAGACTTCGATAAGACTCCGGTCGAGGAAGATGCGAAGACGGACCTTGCCGTCACTGCTCAGACGGAACGGTGCATTTTCTGGGGGTTTACCGACAAGATCTGTACGGAGGGAGGAATAGGATGTGTCGATCTGCAAACTATCGTTGGTCTTGCCGTGTCTGTGGTTGTAGATAGAGATTTTTGTCCGTTCATCGCCATCTGGTGAACGGAATACATACAACCCGAATTCCCGTGCTGTCCCGATCTCTACGGTCATGTCTATTTCAATCGCTTTGCCGGCTACGTTGTCAAGGACACGTTCTTTATTTGCCGACACCGCAATATCCGTGAGGCGAGTGTGCGTAGCGCGTAAATTTTTCACCTCTTCTACCGGCTCCATCGCCAGCGCGTTGTCCTCTTTCAGCGTGAGATGCCACGGAAGCGTCATGCACAACCCCGACGCGGCTTCTTCACTCTGCCTTCCATCGGCGCAATTTAAAATGGCGATGAGGCGACCGCGGGAATCTATTGTCGCAGAAGGACAGGAGACCATCCCACCACCGAAGGTGCCGTGGTTGATTCTACCGTGGTATTCAGGTGTAAACCTGTGTGTCCCATAGTCGTATTCACCAATGTAGTAGCGCGCCGAACGCTTATGACTGAAGAGGAGCAGGATGTGCTTACCGTTTCCGATAGGCAGGAAATTTGGCACCGCACCATCTTCACCCAAGTCGCAGAAGACATCGTCAATCAGCAACGGATGGAGATATTCCCAGTGGGTTAGGTCTTGTGAATAGAAGAGGTGTGAAGCAGATCTGCGCCGTTCGCGAATCCAACCGTTAGCCGATGTCCCTGAGATCGAATAATACCCGTCCTCTTCTTTCCAGATGCACGGATCGAAGACGTTGTAGGGCTGCTCGTATTGGTTAGTCTCGACATTCGGAATGACCGGATTATTCGGATGCTTTTTCCAGTTGAGTAGGAGTGGATCGCTGGCAGTGGCGATGCTATTCCCCGACATTTTGCCGTGGTAGAGAGCGATAACCCGTTCATCTTCCACAGAGCACTGACCGCTAAAGCAGTGCAGTTCGGTATCTGGATACAACGCCGGCGGCAGATCGTGCCAGTGCACCAAGTCCTCGCTATAGCAGTGTCCCCAGTGCACCCGATTGGCACCCGGCGGACCGAATTGATAAAACAGATGATACCTACCCTGCCATTCGCAAAGACCGTTCGCATCCCCCATGCCGTAGAGAGAGGACATGTGATAGATGGGACGGTACGGATCTGATGCCCACCCTCTCTCCGTTTCTTATAGTCGTGCACCGTCTCATCCGTTTCAAGGGCAGTGAGCTGTTCCGACTCTGTATCGGGATAGGTTTTACCTCGGAGTTTTTCCCATGCGTCTGCCATATCAGATCCCCTTATCCAAAGTCTCGCTTATAAGTTTTTGATTTTGCGTGGCGGGAGCTACTTCTCAAACTCCATGTCTTGCCAGCAAAATTGCTTTCAATAAGCTGCTGAAAAATTCGATGGTGCGCCGATGGTTTGAGTTCAAATCGATCCGTCGTGGGTGAGAACGGATAACTCTCTGTCTCACCCGCGAGAATAGCGAAGAATTTACCGCGGTTATTTGGAAGAAAGACAGGTCCCTTCCATTCCTGATATTCAGTTATCGGAGGCGTGTTCTGAACAGCCATCTCCGCGTTGAGGAGAACTTCTGTCCTGTCCCGCAATCTGATAGAAGCCGGGAGTTTATTCTCAAGTTGGATATCGCCTTGAAAATAGGGCGTCTGAAAAAACACCCTTTCCGAGAAAGCCAAGAGTTTGGACGAATGAAAGCGTGTGGCAGATAATAGCCGTCCAAGTTTGCTCCATCTTCGCTAAAGCAAACCCCAACAGCGATAACAAACTCCCTAAACTTGAATCCCCTCCATTTAGCATCTATCGCGCTGAGCAGTAAAACTGCCTTATTCTCTTGGTGGTATGGAATGAGACTTTCCTTGTGCAACACCGTTTTCCAGAACGATAAATCCGCTGTGCCGTGGAGTGTGACCTCTCTGACGTTATCTAAATCCGCGGTGTATTGAATGGAGATGTTTGAAGGAGTGGCGTTACATAATTTCCATGTTCCTTTAGGTGAGCATAATGGGTAATTCGGAAATCAGGGGATGCAGGAGACTCGAAACTGATGCCCAGAATTCAGCGTCAAGTCCCCAGTATCAAATAGGGAAATAGCAGCAAAAAAACGGATGATTCTTGTCAATCAGAATAACCTTTCAGTCTTGCCCATAGCGTTGTTAATTTGCTTGTAGCTTCAACCGACAACGCTGATCCGCCACCAAATTTGACATCAATCTCAAATTCATGAATGGTCTCGTGCACATCCCGTTCTCTGGGTGTGACAGGTTTCTTCCAACGATCTTTGTTCGGTTTTCCTTTCGGGACTTTCGTTGCTTCAACATCGGGCATCGAATCCACAATTTTCGACACATCCCATACAGGAATTTCGCCTACAGGAGAGAGTGTTGCGATATTGGCTGAACGTCCGATTTCAATCCCATTCAGCCACAGGATATAGGAATCGTCATAGTCAATCCGAAACATAATTTTTTTCGATGTGACTGCCTTAGGCACATCGAACTGATAGCGCGTGTAAAGTGAGCCAACCTCACCTGATTTGATTTCGGTATTGTCATCACCATCACCATAACCAATGCTGGTGATGTCCTTTTTCCAGTTCGTATCGTCAAATTCGAGTTCAGTCCAACCATCAACGTCTTCGTCAGGAACATGATATTTCACCTCAACGCCCTCGTCAAAAATAACATCCTTTCCGACAGTGAGTTGTATAATCAGGGTCATATCACTACTGCTAAATCCGTCATTATAACACCCCGCAGCGAGCACATTATCTTTTGTAAAGATTTTAGGGGTATCAAGGGCATAAGATAGAGATGCGAATACACAGCAGAGGCATAGGTAAAAGAGAATTTGTCTAATCATCGGAATATCTCCCTATTGGTTTCAAAGCATTCAGAGTGAGAAACAAAATATCAGATGCATTCTTTCGATCAATTGTCTGATAATAGCAAATTTGACGAACATCGTCAATGAAAAATCAAACTGATTTTCATTGACTTATCTGCCTAAAACCTGTATCCGCTTTAAAATCCTACTATAACGTGCACAAGTGCGGTGCCTATTGGGAATTAAGCATAGATGTTCTGCATCTGCCAGGCATCTAAGGATTTGAGTTCGCAGGCTTGTCCCTGCGAGCGCAATGACACACCGACACTCTCTTCCTTGTCGGGATAAACGCGCATCGCCACGCACTGCTTTCCATTCGCGAAGACCTCCACAACACTCTTATCAACGAATACCCGTAATTTCAGAGTCTCGTCTTGCGCAATGGAAACGGCTCCGGTTTCCGGGGCGCGTGAAAGGACATCCGACGCGACTGATGAATACGATGAATCAATCGTGAGCAGGCTGTCGCGAACGCGATCGGGCACATCTGGGTTGCGCATACCGCGCTCTCTGAAGAAGGCGATGCGGGTGAACTCCTCCTTGTGCGGTGACCGAAGGACATTTAATTCAACCATCGGTGCCGACTTCGGATCGATTTCGAGTTCAAGTTCCATCGCGTTGCCAGTTTATGCCTTCCAGCACGACCTCCTCGTTTGCGGGGAGTGTCATCGCGTTGACACGCTGATGCGCATACCGCAACGATTCGATGTCGCCAGCTGGCTCAATTCCGACTTCATCTCTGGAGAGAAGAGTCAGGCGACGCGGCAGCGTCATGATCTGGTTCCAACCTTTGGTAGGCTTCGCCGGATTCATGTTATAGATAACGATAAGACCGCCGTTACCATCAGGTGTAGCGGAGGGTGCGTGAACACCGGCAGGGGATGCTGCCCCGAAATTGTTCTTCGCACCTGCTGTCACGATGAACTTGTCGCGTTCGGTATCATAATCACCGAGCAGATACTGTCCACCGCTCATGTGGCTGAAGAAAAGGAGCATGTGTCGGTCGCCGATGGGCCAAAAGTAAGGACACGCGCCGTCATCGCCGACTAAAGTGTACATATCATCTTCGATGAAGGGATGTAGATAGACCCAGTTTGCGAGGTCTGCTGAGCGCAGCAGGAAATTCGCGCGGACCCGTTTACCGCCCGGTCCGTGTGGGAGTGTGCCACCCGAAAGCGAGTAATACATACCGTCTTTTTTCCAGATGCATGGGTCGAAAACGCGATAGACCGGTGTTGGTGCCATCGGCGTGTCGCGAAGGGATAACCGCTTTGTCAGAGACTTTTTCCCAATTGAGAAGCAACGGGTCGCTTGACACTGCTACCATATTGCCGACAACCGTTCCGTGATACATCGCAATCACGCGGTCTTCCTCTACAACCGTCGCACCGGAGAAACAGCATCTTTCAGGATTCGGATATATCGCGTAGGGTAAGTCGCGCCAGTGGATGAGGTCGTCGCTGATCGCGTGTCCCCAGTGCTGCCGTGTATCTTCAGGCGGATATGCCTGATAGAAGAGATGCCATCGTCCCTGCCAGAAACAGAGACCGTTCGGATCGTTGAGCATCGCTTCAGGGTTGATATAGTGATAAATCGGACGGTGCGGATCGCCTTCATACGTTTTCCGATAGGCGTTGAGTCGTTGCATCAGCGGATTCGTCTCCAACTGTGCTTCCTGCTCTTCCAGTGTGTCCGCGAACGTATAATACGGTACACGCGAAGTGTAGTCTTCGTTAGCCATCATTTCTCCTCAGTTGCGTAATATTCATGAAATTTGTGGTTTTTAGCATAGCATAGAAATGGTTGAATGTCCACAAATTTTAACGCTGTTCTCATTTGAATTGACTTAGTTTTTTAAGTATGCTAAATGCGCGGATACCGTTTTAGTCCGACAGTTGATACGGCACATTCAATTGTCAAAGGAGAACGAGACGATGGATAAACCTGAGAAACAACCACATAAAAAGGCGGCGATGCACGTCGGTGTTCAAGGCATCGGAACATCTCCTAAAGAGTTGGCATTCCTCGTACGCCACGGGTGCGTAACGCACATGGATGCCTCCGTTGGGGATACTGAAACCGAAACGCTGGTTCACACAAAGCGGAAGCGGCAGAAGCGGGTGTCAGTTTTGAGATGATTCATATCGGGCTTCCAGGAGACATTACGCTTGCCCAAGATCCGCAGCGCGATACGGATATTGATGCCGTTTGCAAAATAATCGAGAACGCTGCAGCGGCTGGATTGCGAGGATTAAATTATAATTTTTGCATCCTAAACCATCAGCGGGACCGAGAGTACACCCGGACGTGGCGGCTCAAGTTACAGCACGTTTGACTTCTCCAAATACGATAACGAAACGCTTTCAGAGGCGGGTGAGGTGAGTCGCGAAGAAGCGTTTGATCGGATCGCGTATTTCCTCGAGCGTGTGATCCCAGTCGCTGAGGCAAACCGAATCCAGATGGCGTGCCACCCGAACGATCCACCCGCGCCTGTTCTGAGAGGCGTTGAACGATGGAATTACCCCATCTTTGACGGCTTATTAAACGTTTCGCTGAAATTGTGGATAGCCCGTATCACGGCTTTAATTTCTGCTGTGGCACAGTGTCAGAGGGTTTAGATGATCCAGGCACTGAGTTCTACGAAATCCTCCGCTATTTTGGCGAGCAGAAGAAACTTTTCAACATTCACTTTCGTAATATTCGCGGCGGACTGCACAACTTCCAAGAGGTATGGCCCGACGAGGGACACTTGGACATGCACAAGGTTGCAGAGACGCTTCGAGATGTAGAATACCCCTACATGTTAATGCCCGACCACGCACCAGGGCATCCAGATGATCCATCGCCACCCGGTGCTTCTGGTAGGGTTCGACAGGCGTGGGCATTCCAGTTCGGATACATCATCGCTCTGATTCAGGCGGTAAACTCGGTATAGTCAGTTAATTAGTTTCAGTTAGAGGGACACAGTCTTTTTCAAAACGTCCCTTAATGGTAAATTCAACCCTTTAGGAGGTAAAAATGAAATCCATTATAGTTTGGTTAGCGATCATTACCATCAGTCTGACCCTCACAATACGAACTTATGCGGAGATCGACCTTGAAACCGCAAGAGGAATTTGGCTACTTGATGAAGGTGATGGCGATGTTATCAACGATATGTCTGGAAACGGAAATCACGGTCAACTCCAGGGCGGAGAATGGGTCGAAGGACCAGATGGTCCCGCCCTCAGTTTAAACGGACAAGATGATCGGGTTATCATCCAAGACACCGATAGTATGTATCTGGAAGAGGCATGGACGATCACTGCTTGGGCTTTTGTGAATAACACCGAGAACGGTTTTGGACATATTCTCGGCAAAAGACCCGGATCTGGAACGGTGGCAAATTACGCATTCAGGACAAGCGGCAATGGTAGCGGCTGGGAAGCATACTTTTCGCGAGGCGGCTGGAAAGGCGCGTGGAATCAAGGAAGCGTGAAGAAAGATGAATGGTTGTACATGACCGCAACTTATGATGGAGAAGACATCATCAGGATCTATGAAAATGGATCTGAAATCGGTTCTGTTAACGGGCATGGTGGACCGGCACCTCGGAATGACACGGATGTCAACATCGGCGGATGGGAAAACAACACTTCAGAGACACTTGACGGCATGCTCTATGAGGTCGCGCTTTTTAGTGTCGCGCTGGCAGAAGAGGACATAAACACCCTGATGAACAAGGGGCTATCGTCCGAAACGGCTGTTGAGCCTTCTGGCAAACTCGCAACTACATGGGCAAACATCAAATCTCAATAGTAGTTGGACAAATTGGGTGAAGTCGGTGTGTCACCTGAACACCTAACCGCATCCGTTTTGCAGATGTTCACCTTATGGAAATAGCATCGCTGAATATTGAACGCGCACAATTGCTAACCACCAGACATGTGATAACATAGATCAAGGACAATTTGATGTGATGAGAACAGACGGAACGCGATTCCAGATTTTATGTAAACGTTCCGCCTGTTCTCCAAGTCAAGCATCCCCATGCTGGATGCTATCCCAACAGGATCGGGTGCCGGCGCAAGTGGAAACTCGCAAATGCTGATGCCCGACCTGCGTCATCGTCCCCCAGTTACATCGCCGCCTGGTTTCTGGTAGAATCCGACAGGCATGGACATGCCAGTTCGGATATTTCATCGCTCTGATTCAGGCGGTAAATTTGGTATAGTAGGTTAATTGGTTTCAGTTAGAGTGACACAGTCTTTTTCAAAACGTCCCTTAATGGTAAATTCAACCTTTAGGAGGTAAAAATGAAATCCATTATAACTTGGTTAGCGATCATCACCATCAGTCTGACCTTCACAGTACAAACTTATGCGAAGATCGACTTTGAAAGCGCAAGAGGAATTTGGCTACTCGACGAAGGTAAAGGTGATAAAATTAACGATATTTCTGGAAACGAGAACCACGGTGAACTCCAGGGCGGAAAATGGGTCAAAGGACAAGATGGTTCTGCCCTAAGTTTAAACGGACAAGATGATCGGGTTATCATTCCAGACTCCGACAGTATGTATCTGGAAAAGGCGTGGTCAATCACTTCATGGGTGTATGTCAACAAATCCGAGAACGGTTATGGACATATTCTCGGTAAAAGACCCGCGGGGGGTACAGTGGCAAATTATGCCTTCAGGACAAACTCCACCGGCACCGGCTGGGAAGCTTACTTTTCGCGAGACGGTTGGAAAGGTGCTTGGAATCAAGGACAGGTAAAAAAAGATGAATGGTTGTATATGACCGCAACTTATGACGCAAAGGATACCATCAAGATTTACGAAAATGCTGAGGAAATCGGTTCTGTTGGCGGGATGGGTAAACCGGGTCCTCAGAATGACACGGATGTCAACATCGGCGGTTGGACCAACAATACCTCAGAGACACTTAACGGTATGCTTATGAGGGTCGCAATTTTCGATTCCGTACTGGAAGTAGAAGATATAGAGGAGCTGATGGACAAGGGACTCCTGACACTACTGCCTGTTGAGCCTTCTGACAAAACTTGCTACTACATGGGCAAACCTCAAATCTCAGCAATAGGCAAGGTAAACCGATTGCAGCCGGTGCGTTACCTGAACGACTGGCTGCACTCATTTTCGGATAGTTGCTGTAAGAATTGATAGCTGAGCATATTGAACACGCACGAAAACTGAACCGTCAGGCATTTGATGACATTGATCATGGCAGGCTTGAGACAGGAAATCTGGAAGAAGCACACACCAATCTCTCAATAGTGATCGCCAATTTGGAGAACGTAGATGTCGCAAACCTCCAAAACCGCCCCAGTTGGTGCACCGCTCGGTGTTCCTACTGTATGGTGTGAAATAGTGGATTAACGAATATACAATGTTGCCGCTTTATGAATGATGTTATTTTCATCTTGCTTTATTTTTCCCATCAGACTATGATACTCATATTAGGACATTAGTAAGTAATAAATAAGCGTAACTTGATGCGATTTTTTAGTCATATAATCTGGGTTGCTTTGCTAAGGTAGCAACTTAGGTTAATGTGGAGATTATTATGGCGAAGTCACCGAACGTACTTCTTATTCTCGCCGACGACCACGGCTATGGCGATATTTCGGCCCACAACGGTCCGTCGATTCAAACACCGAGTATTGATCGAATTGCTACAGAGGGGATGCGTTTTACCAGATTTTATGCGAATTCCTCCGTCTGTTCACCCAGCAGAGCATCCCTTATGACGGGACGCTATCCAGACAGAGTCGGTGTGCCGGGCGTAATCCGCACCCATCCAGAAAACAGTTGGGGCTACTTTCGACAGGATGCAGTCACACTCCCCTCAGTTTTGAAGCAGAAGGATTATCATACCGCACTTATCGGTAAGTGGCACCTTGGACTTGAACCGGAGAATCATCCGTGTAGGCGGGGGCTTCGACCGTTTCCACGGCTTTCTCGGCGATATGATGGATGACTACTACACGCATCTTCGGCACGACATCAATTACATGCGACACGGCTTCGACACGATCGATCCGCAGGACACGCCACAGATCTCTTCACGGAATGGAGTGTAGATTTCATTCGTGCGCAAGCGCAATCATCACAGCCTTTTTTCCTTATCTTGCCTATAATGCACCACATACACCGATCCAACCGCCTGACGATTGGGTGGAACGGGTGCGGGAACGCGAGCCGGATATTTCCCCGCAGCGCGCCAAATACATTGCCCTTGTCGAGCACATGGATGCTGGTATTGGGCGAGTACTCGATACGCTTGTTGAAACAGATCAGTTGTCCAATACACTCGTTATTTACACTTCTGACAACGGTGGGTCGATAGACGTTGGAGCACACAACGGTCCCTTGCGCGGTCAAAAGGGCGAAATGTACGAAGGCGGCATTCGAGTGCCGGCGTGCGCAATGTGGCCAGGGCACGTTCCAGAAGGACATGTTACCGATCAGGTTGCATTGCTGATGGATCTTTTCCCAACAGTATGTGAGGTAGCAGGTGCACCGATCGCTCATGAGATCGAAGGACGTTCAATTTGGAAAACGCTCCAAGCGGAACAGCAAGACTTCTCTGACCGCATCCTCTACTGGTTACGCAGAGAGGGAGGACAGCGGTTTCTCGGGCAGTGTCAGCACGCCGTACGGCGTGGGAACACCAAATTGTTGCACAATAGTCCTTTTGAGGCACTGGAGCTCTACGATTTGTCAGACGATCCACTGGAAACGACAAACGGCTCACAGACACAGATCGACCTCTTTAGAGAAATGAGTCAATTATTTCAGGCGGAAACGCAAAAGGCTGGGTGTGTTCCGTGGCAGCGGTAAGCACAGTCTCCAACGTGCTGTTCTGTTGAATTCGTTTTTGTTGGCGCGGTTTTCAACTGTGCTTGGGAACGTATGGATTTCAAACTGCTTGGTGATTACCTTGAATATATGTTACACTTAAGAATTAATTACCCGAATCGAAAAGGAGGTGCCCGTTTTGCATCACGAACGAAACCTATCTGATACATCAAAAAGGGGAGATTCATCAACATCTAAGTACGTTGCGCGTCCAGTCAACCCGGCAGAAAAACCTGGCTATACTTCCCTGCATGATGCGGCACGGGACAATGCTTATGAGGCAGCGGCGATATTGCTGGAAAACGGCACAGATGCCAACGCAAAGGACAAATACGGTTATCCTCCCCTGCACTGGGCGGCATGGAACAACGCTTATGAGGCAGCGGCAGTATTGCTGGAAAATGGCGCAGATGCCAACGCAAAGAACGATAAGAACTTTACTCCCTTGCATTGGGCAGCGTGGAATAATGGACATGAAACAGCAACGATATTGCTGAAAAATGGCGCAGATGTCAACGCAAGGAATGAAGATGGCGACACACCTTTACACTGGGCAGCGCGGCGCAATGTTTATGAGGCAGAAGGGATATCGCTGGAAGACCAGTCGGGTGTCAACTCCAGAAACAAATCTGGTTATACGCTCCTGCATTGGGCAGCGTGGCGTAATGCCTATAAAACAGCAGTAGTATTGCTGGAGAATGGCGCAGATATCAACGCGAAAGACAAAAGTGGTTGTACCCCATTACACATTGCCGCAGAAGACTGACACTTCTGAGGTGGCAACGGCGTTGGTAAAAAATGGCGCAGATATCAACGCGAGGGACCAAAATGGCGATACACCTTTGCACGTCGCAGCGCAGCACAATGCGTATGAAACGGCGTTGGTATTGTTAGAAAGTGGCGCGGATGCTAACGCTGAGGATGATAAAGGTCATACGCCTTTACACATTGCGGCAGAGAGGAAAGCGCATGAGGCAGTAAAGATACTATGCCGTCACCGAGAACGAAGGGGATGGTCATGGTAATCGTCTTTTCATCCGGGCAGCAACCGGTGTTACGCTGTCAGAGCGAAGAAATAAACTAATTCTTAAAATAGGTGGATCGCTACAGCAGAAAATGACGCCGGTAAGTTGAGCCTTGAAGGTATCACGCAACTTTCCACCAATCCTGAAAGGAACAAGGACTGTCTCTGATGGCGATTTCCCGCCTCGGAGCAGAGAGCGGTGGTCACACTTAAATGTCCAGAGATCTAATCATACATTTTGCTAAAGAAGTCAATGATACAATCTCTGGTGATTCCTTGTTCGGTAGGTGATCTCTAAAGAATCATGGGAAGCTAATGACAAACACAGACACAAATAATCTTGTTTTATGGTATCAGAAACCAGCCGAGGCATGGACAGACGCACTCCCCATTGGAAACGGACGGCTCGGTGCTATGGTGTTCGGTGGTGTGGAGCGAGAGCGTATTCAACTCAACGAAGAAACCCTTTGGGACGGTGGTCCCCGCGACACCAACAACCCAAATGCTTTGGAAGCACTCCCGAAGGTGCAGCAGTTGCTCTTTGATGACAAAAACGAAGAAGCCACTAAACTCGCTGGCGAGACGATGCTTGGCGTACCAGAACGTATCAAGTCCTATCAATCCTTGGGCGATCTGTTTCTGGAGTTTTCGCATGATGGTGATCCTACTGAGTATCGCCGAGAGTTAAATCTGAACACAGGTATTGCAAAGACAACCTATCGCTGCGGAGATGTCAATTTTAGCAGAGAAGTTTTTGCGACAGCGGTAGACAACCTCATTGTCGTTAGAATTGAATCCGGCACGGCAGGGCAACTCGCTTTCGATATCGCGATAACTCGGGAACAAGATGCCACTGTTGAAGCAATTGCCGCTAATATCCTTAGATTGGATGGGCAATGTGGCAATGATGGGATGCACTTTTCAGTGTATCTACAGGTGCAAATTGAGGGCGGGAAGGTCCAGTCGGAGAACGACCAGCTTGCTGTGCGTGACGCAAATCGCGTGACGCTTCTTCTCGCTGCTGCGACAAGTTACATTAATCAGAACGACGCGAGTGGAAGCCCGCACGCGCTTTGCGAAGGTCATCTCACTGATATTGACGCAAAATCTTATACGAAAGTTCGAGCAAATCACATTGCCGATCATCAGGACCTCTTTCAACGAGTGCATCTGGATCTCGGCACTACCGACGCTGCGAATCTCCCTACCGACGAGCGCTTGGAAGCCGTAAAAGCAGGCGCATCGGATCCGGAACTTGTTGCCCTTTACTTCCAGTACGGACGCTATTTGATGATGGGAAGTTCGAGACCAGGATGCTTGCCTGCAAATTTACAAGGCATCTGGAACGAGCACATGAACGCCCCTTGGAATAGCGATTTCCATACCAATATCAACCTCCAAATGAACTATTGGGTCCCTGAGATCTGCAACCTTGCGGAGTGCCATATTCCCTTATTCGATTATATGGAGACACTTGTTGGACCGGGGGGTCGCACAGCGAAGAGCCATTACGGTGCCAACGGTTGGGTCGTCCATCATCTTTCTGACGTATGGGGTTTCACAACGCCTGCTGATGGCACTTGGGGTATCTGGCCCGTAGGTGCCGCGTGGCTGTGTGAACATGTGTGGGAACACTATCTTTTCGGTGGCGATAAAGATTTTCTCATAGGGCAGGGCTATCCACTCATGAAAGGTGCCGCCCGCTTCATACTGGATTTTCTCGTTGAGGCACCCGAAGACACGCCTCTCGCTGGTAAACTCGTCACGAATCCGTCACACTCACCCGAAAACAGCTTCCTAAAGCCTGATGGCACACGCTCCCTTTTTACCTACGCTGCAACGATGGACCTGGAAATTATTCATGAACTCTTTACCAACTGTATCGCCTGCATTGATGTTCTTGAGGAAGATGCCGAATTCCGTGTTGAATTAGTTTCCGCTCTCGAACGACTCGCACCGCTCCAGATTAGTGAGAAAACAGGACGGTTGCAGGAATGGGCATTTGACTACGACGAACCGGAACCCGGGCACCGGCACATGTCCCACATGTATGCACTCCACCCAAGTTGCCAGATTACGCTGCGGGGGACACCGGAGTTAGCAACCGCGGCAAAGAAATCGTTGGAATATCGCTTGGCGCATGGGGGTGGACATACGGGTTGGAGCCGTGCATGGCTCGTCAACTTCTCGGCACGGCTTGAGGATGCCGAGGAGGCGTACACGCATCTCCAAGCACTTCTGGCGAAATGCACCTTAACGAACCTGTTTGATACACATCCACCTTTCCAAATCGATGGAAATTTCGGGGGAACCTCCGGCATCGCAGAGATGTTGCTTCAGAGCCACGCGGATGAGATTCACCTATTGCCCGCGCTTCCGAAGGCGTGGGGCACAGGAAATGCCAGTGGATTGCGTGCCCGCGGCGGATTTGAAGTGGCAATGGCATGGGAGAATGGACAACTCACCGAGGCACACCTGCATTCCACATTGGGAGAAGACTGCACTGTCCGAACAGCCGCAACTGTTTCGGTGACATGTGATGGTGTGCAGGTTGAAACAGAGCAATCGGAGTCGGTTGTCACGTTTGGAACAGAGGCACGGAAAACGTACGCACTATCGGTTTTGAGCTAAGTCTATCACATTGGCAAACGTCCTTGATTGGTATATTGCTTGATTCGCTCATTTGCCAGTTCGACGTATTTCTCCTCAATATCGTACCCAATATAGTGTCTTCCTGATTTCAAGGCACTCAGGCACGTGGTGCCGCTTCCACAGAATGGATCGAGGACCACATCACCTACGAAGGTATAGAGTTGGATTAACCGATGCGGCAACTCCTCAGGAAAAGGCGCAGGATGTCCGATGCGTTTCGCCGAGACCGCAGGAAATGTCCCAAACGCTTTTTGTCCACTCTAAAAAGTCCTCTTTGCAGATCGAATTTTCTTTCCCGTTGCGTTTCCGAGAAAATGAATCCTTTGAGAAAACAAGGATATATTCATGAACGTCTCTTAACACCGGATTCGCTGCCGATAACCAACTTCCCCACGCCGTTGAGGAACCAGCACTTGAAGCTTTGTCCCAGATGATCTCACCCCGCATGTAGTACCCTATTGATAACATGTCTTCTATAATGTAACTATGCAACGGGATATAGGGTTTCCGTCCTAAGTTGGCGATATTGATGCACGCTCTGCCACCAGTAACCAATTTTTTATAGGTCTCGGCGAAAACAGCGTAGAGGAGTTCTCTGTATTCCGCGAGCGACAGATCCTCGTCATACTCCTTTTTCGCATTATACGGGGGAGACGTAACCATCAGATGAACGCTGGCATCGGGAATCGCGGACATGTCTGCGCTGGATGCACAATAGAGTTGGTTGAGATTTTCGGCAGGGATAGGATTTTCTGTCCACGTGTCGGGTTTCGGAGGCTCCTGATCGGCATAGAGTTTGCTCCCATAAAACTCACTGGCATCGTGATTGATTCTGCCGGGGGTTCCGAATGCGCTGGTTTGGGTGCCCTGTTTCCGAGATTCCGAGTTCATTTTACCCATACTTCCATTTACCTCAATACCGATCCGGGGACCAGAAGATGACATCGCGTTTAGGGAACAACGTACTTAAAAACGCAGAGACTTCTGAGGATACCGAAGCCTCGGAACTTACCTGTTCCCATCCTATCTCGCCGAACAGAAGTTGCCAAAAATCTGCTTCGGTTAAGTCTACTCCCAAGTCAACAGCGTCGACATCTTCAGGAACGATTTGCAGCGTGCCATCGGCATTGTGTCGAAGGGCTGCTTGTTGATTGTTGAGAGCGGGCAATTTGACAGTGAGCGGTGGAAACGTCTCTTCGGCATCCGCAATTCGCGATTCCCACCCGACGACGAGGCGACGCAAAAGCACAGGTAGGTTCGCAGCGTAGAGCATCATCGCCGTATTCGTTGTCGAAGTTAATGCACCATTGCATCCTGCTGTGAGTCGTTCTACAAATGGGTGTTGGGGCGAGAATGTACCTTCTATCTTCTCAACCTTTGTGCTTCACACGCTTTCAGAAAATCGGATACGAGTGCCTCCAAGACTCCTGGATTATTACGGATGTATCCTACCTCACGCACTTCTGCGGTCTTTTCGTATATCTCATAGTTGAGATACCCGCCGATGTGTCCATCTCGGCGGGCAACGACGGTTGGAAAAACACCACGGATGCGTGAGGGTGCCATATCCCAATAAGCGCGCGTCCGCGCGATGGTTCCACTTTGCTGGGCATTGATGAGGTCGTAGAGTCTCGCCACAGCATCTAAATCTGCTTCTGGGTTGAAAGTGCTTATTTCCCATTCGGATGGATACTCTGCGCTCGTTGTCGAGTTGCGCGGCACGAGAAAACCATGCAGCGGCAGGGTCGTCCATCCCAAACGGCGATAAAAAGCCTCTGGAATGATAGTAAACAGGGCACCGATGTCACATCCCGTCATCCGCAGATAGTCAATTGTATCCCGCATGAGGGCAGATGCATACCCAACCCCACGATACTGCGGATGTGTGCAAACACCACCAATGCCACCCATCGTTACGAAGGATGCTCCGACCCGCATCCGCCGCTCCCAAACGCGCAAGGTCGAAATAACCTTGTCGTTCACAACGACAACCCGGGTTTGCGGAAGTCTGTAACTGCTGTCCCCACGTACATACTGCCAATAGCGTTCATGACCATCGGGATTAAACGCTAAGCAGCTCAACGCAACGACCTGTTCTAATTCTGATACTCGCGCGCCTCTAATTTCCATATTTTTAACGATTATAGAATAGTTGTCAGTTGCCGGTCGAAGGTTTGCGGAGCAAACCGTACTGACAACCGATAACTATTATTGCATTGAGAAAAACAACGCCTAATGCCTCATTTGGTGTTTGAATCAATTTTTCACACCCTTCGGGTGCCTGATCGATCGGAATAATATCTGTAATCAGCGGCTTCACTTGGACTTTGCCTTCCGACATCAACCGCAGTGATAATTCTAAGTTGCGTTGTGTGGGCCAAGGGACAAATACCGGTGGATAATCCGCGCCGTGTTCATAATCCTCGTCGTGGTAACCGGGTCCAGTACGAGCCGCAGAAATCACATCGACGTTGCCGAGACCTGCCGCAAAACCGTGTGTAATGTTCGCGCCACCGACGATGACAATCCGCCCAACTTTGTGGGTGTCCGGGGCTGTCTTGAGCGTCGCTCGGATCTGCTGAAACGCGCTCGTTCGCATCGCCACCAAAGGCGATAATCCCGCAATCCATGCCGTAACCCCTCGTAAATTCCTGAGCAATAGGAATCGGATCCGTTTCCGACACGTTTATCGCACGGTGTATCCCCCGCGTTCTGAGCAATACCGATTCGCAATGGCAACCGGTCTAAACCGATAACATAGGCACCCGCCGCTTTAGCTATCTGGCATGCAAATTGTCCAACGATGCCCAATCCAGCGACAACAACGTTCTCGCCGATACGGATGCGCCCGCGTTGCACGGCGTGAAGTGCGGTTGCCGCAAGATGATTAGACGCTGCTTCTTCGGCACTGACGTTATCCGGGATCTTTGCACATAAGTTGTGTGGGACACAGGCGTGCGTGGCGTGGAGCGCATATCCGCCTCCCATACCAGATACCCTGTCACCAATCTCAAACTCGTCGCAATCACCTTCTTTACCGATGACAACACCGGCATTCGTGTATCCGAACGGACGTTGCCGTGTTTCAGAATCCCCCCGGATTCTCGCGCCTCCGTTTGACACCACCAAGTTCTGAACCGGGACTTACCATGGAAGCGTGAACTTCAATTAAGAGTTGTCCCGATTTTGGCGCAGGCGTTTCCTGTTCTTCCGTCCAGATACGTCCGGCTTCATTCATCATCAAAACTTTTCTCGTTTTACTCATAAATAGTCCCCTTTGTTTGCTTTTGTTTGTGGGCGCGCTTCACAACCCCGCTAAACCGCATATCTACCGGTAAGGTTCCAAATCAATTCCCGGATATGCTTGCTCAAGACGTGCAAGAGCTTCCGGTGTATAGTATGCATCACCAGGAGCGGGCCAGCCCAAAACGCGTCGCACGGCAGGGGTCGTCTTTATGACAAACTTCATGTAGTTCGGGCTACTCCAACCCGGCACCGGGCGCGTCGTTTTGCACCAATCGTCATTGTCGGCACGATGGAAGTGATAGCCCATCCATCCGCGTTGTCTACTTTTGTTCTGAAAGGGTTGTGCGGCGTGAACCAAGTAACTGGAACGGAATGCAACACTCCCCGCTTTCGCCGTAAGGGGGATCGGATCCGCGAGTTCTCCTTTAAATTCCCGTAGATCAGGAATACCCATTCCGCCCGCTCTGCCCGGGTACTTCGCCCATATTTTATCCAACTGGTTCTGTGAACCTGGGCAGACAAGCATCGGCGCACCGTCCAATTCGACGTCATGTGGGAAGATAGCGGACAAAATATATCCGTACCGTTGCCAATCCGAGTGCGGGGGCAAAGGTGAGTTCGTCGCATTGTCAATGTGGTAACCCTGCCATGGGTGTTCACTATGACGGCTATCGGTGAGCCCTTCTCGGAAGAATATTTGTCCATAACCGAGTCGAATTTCTTCCGTATCTAACAGTTGCTGAGCGATTGCGAGGTATGCCTCGTTTTCGAGCAGTTTGTCTACCGCTTCTAAACCCGTCGGAAAATGCAGTGCCTTACCGAAGGGACCGGCAAGTCGTTGCATCGCATCGTTCTTCTCATAAGCACTTTTTAGGGCATCCGGCTGTGCGTCCCATTTCGCACGATATTCGGCATAAGTCAAGTCATCGTAAGCATTTCGTTCGATCTCTTCTAAAGCGGGTGCCGTCGCTTCCTGTGAAAACACATTGGGCACCACGATTATTCCATCCTGTTTCCATGTTGCCAGTTGTTCCGTTGTGAGTTGCATAGTGTTTACCTCTCTGTGAATCTTTCCCATTTATCCTCTTGAACCATTTCACTATCTACTTTCTGTTGAATTTCCTGCCACCATTTCCAATTTTCGACGTACCATCGAATCGTCTCGCGCATACCATCTTCAAATGCAATAATCGGTTTCCAACCGACATCGCGGGCGATCTTGCTTGAATCCAAGAGATAACGACAATCATGCCCGGGTCGGTCAGGAACATAAGTTTTCAGATGCTGCGGTTTGTCAAGAATATCCAATATGAAATCGCTAATCTCTTCAATACTCTTCTCCACGCCACTCCCGACATTGTAGGTCTCGCCAATTTTGCCGTACTCGAGAACTGCCGCGATTGCCCGGCAATGATCCTCAACGTGCAACCATTCGCGTCGGTTATGACTGCTTCGGTAGAGCGTTAAGGGTATGTTTTGGATTGCATTCGTTGCAAAGAGCGGAATGAGTTTCTCCGGATGCTGATACGGACCGTAGTTGTTCGCACAATTGGAAATCGTTATCGGCATACCGAAGCTATGAAAGTAGGCGTTCACGAGATGATCCGCTGCCGCTTTAGAGGCATTGTAGGGCGTCTGTGGACGATAGGGTGCGGTTTCACTAAACCTATCGGGTGAATCTAAAGGCAGTTCACCATATACCTCACACGTAGAGATGTGATGAAACCGCTGCACGCCGTACTTCCGAGACGCATCCAGTAACACCTGCGTCCCCATCACGTTCGTTTCAAAGAAACGCCGCGGATGCAGAATCGCCCGACTGTTGTGTGACTCCGCAGCGAAATTGACAATTACATCCGGACACTCTTTTTTCAGAATGCTTTCCACAAGGGCAAAGTCCAGAATGTCGCCGTGCACAAACCTGTACCGCTTTGGATAATGTGTTTCCGCTATGTCCGTCAGATTGGAGAGATTTCCAGCGTACGTCAGCCGGTCAAAGTTAACGATTGCATCGTCCGAATTGTGTTGTAGCCAGTATCGGATGAAGTTGGTACCGATAAACCCAGCACCACCCGTGACCAATAATTTCATCAAAGTTTCCTTTTAAGAGGTCGAATATTGCCGTCTAATCTGGTTCTATTCCTTCGGTCCCGGTGATGTCATCCTCATATATCTCAAGTTCCCTGCCTATCGCCTGATTTTTCAAGTTTGCTGGTGCTTTTTTTCTTCCTGTCGGCGCGAGAATGTCTATATCTATTTTTTCATGTGCCGCGGCGACCTGTTTTTGAACCTGGTTGAGTTCGTGGCGAACAAAGATAAAATAGGCATCATCACCGTTTGGCATGTCGTCAAGCGACTCAAGAAGATTTAGAAATGTATTCGGTTCGTTTTCTTCTAACCACTTCATTGACTCGGCAAAGGCAACTCGCGTTCTATATTGATACATGTTATGATTGCGCTCTCGCAGAACAGACCAAAGCCGTTCCACCCGGTCGATATGTTGTTCTGTCAGTGTGCCTTCGCCGTTAAGGGCAAGTTTTCGTCTTTTCCGTTCTACTTTTGCTGCTACGCGTTCCGCTGCCCGCTGTGTTTCTCGTGCTGCATAGTCATCTAATATTGCCTGCTCGCGTGCTTTCCTCCGGGCATCAAACCGATCGTAAAGTGCCGCGACTGCTGGCTCCATCATAACAGCCTTAAATTTTTCCGGATCTCGGCGTTCAACGTACAACAACGATTCGTATGCAAGCGGATCCGCATTAGGCGAATTTAACTTCGCCAGCCGCAAGGCTCGCTCGGCATGCTGCTCTGTCTTTGTGCCGACTCTATTCAAACTAAACTTTCCGCGTTTTTTAGCCATCAACTTCTCCTCGGAAATGAATAACTCTATCTTATCAAAAATGAGTGTGGTCTGTCAATCTAAATTCGTTTTTATGAATGGGATTCCAAGTTACGGAAAAGGATAAAATTGTTGACAAATAATCGTGAATATCGTAAAATACATTACAAATTCAATGCGTAATACTTCGATACTGCAGGGTCCCGTGCCTTGCGAAGGGAAAATAATGCACCAACGCAAATTAGGGAATACAGGGTTAACCGTTTCTGAAATCGGCATGGGAACATGGGAACTCGGCGGTCGTGAATGGGGAGACATCGGTGAAGTCGATGCCGTTGATCTCCTCCGATACGCCTTTGAAAGTGGTGTCACCTATTACGATACGGCAGACCAATACGGCGGAGGCCGCGCTGAACGACTCCTCGGTAGAGCCTTTTCAGCACTCGGCGATAGAGTTGTCATTGCAACGAAACTTGGCTATGAATTGGATTCCGATGGCTGGATTAGCCACGGATGGGAGCATCCATCGTTCAACGTCTCACCGGATTATATCCGTCTGGCAGCTGAAGGGAGCCTCACGCGATTGAAGCGGGATGTGATAGACATCTATCAATTCCACTCACCCCCGTCTGCAGAGGCGTGGGATGACGCATTTGGGACAATGGAGGAACTCAAAACCGAAGGCAAAATTCGCTTTTATGGGTTGGGTCTCGGAAGTGAGGCAGATGCGCTAAAGGCAATAGAAGAAACCGGTATTTCTTCGTTGATGCTCACCTACAATATTCTCACCCAAGAGATGGCAACCCCTGTGATGGAAACCGCTGCCGAGAACGGTATCGCTGTTGTTGTTCGACAGCCGTTATCGTCAGGTTTGCTCTCTGGGCAACTCGGGCCGGATACCGTCTTTGCGGAGAACGACTATCGGAAGACGTGGTCCCGTGAGAAATTTCTCGCCGATCTGGAGCGGGTAGAACAGGTTAAGTCGATCGTTGGGAATAAAGTGCGAAGTCTCCCACAAGCCGCACTCAAATTTATTTTAGCGCACCCAGCTGTCTCCAACGTTGTTCCGGGGATGATGACCCCATCGCAAGTTGACGACGGGGTTGCGACTTCGGGTGCAGCACCTTTACCCGCCGACATTTTGGAACAATTACGCAACGATTAAGGGAGACGCTATGAAGGTTATCGCAGATCTCTGTGTTGTTCCAATGGGAGTCGGTGTCTCGGTCTCGAAATACGTTACTGCGTGTGAAAAAGTACTGAAGGCAGCAGGTTTGGAGACAAAACTACACGCTTACGGCACCAACATTGAAGGCGAGTGGGATGTTGTATTTGCAGCAATTCGGCGGTGCCATGAGGTTGTCCATGAGATGGGTGCACCCCGAATCACAACGACACTTAAGTTTGGCACCCGAATTGACAGGACGCAAACAATGGACGATAAGGTTAGCAGTGTCCAAAATCAGTTAGAGACAGAATAACCGATAGACGTTTCTCAAATTAATTAAAAAAATTAATTTGACTTTTCTGGTAACCTGTGCTATACTGCTTTCGTTAGTTGAACAGAAACGATAACCAAAACATGGAGGTTAATTAAAAAATGAAAAGCAGATTTATGTTTTTTGGCAGTGTGTGCTATCGGATTTCTTCTTATCGCACAATTCGCTACTGCCCTTGATAAAATTGAAGGGCCTTGGATGTGGATAATCACCGAGAGCCCCGTCGGTGGAGGTGGTGCCGCCGTAACAGATGACGACGGTATCAAGGACGCAACAAAGGGTAAACTGACCGAGGAAGATGTCGCAGAACAGGGCCTTACAAAGAAGATTCTGAAAGTCAAGTTTCCAGACAAACTTAAGTGGACTGAAGGCGAAATTGCAGCTGTGGGTGGAAACAATATCAACGACATGCTTATTAAAATTAAGTTGGGACCCGGGGGTGATGTCAATGACTATTGCTCCTACGCCGTGATCAATGCTGTATCAAAAGTGAAAAAGGCTGGCGTTGAAGCCCGCGTCGGCAGCGATGATTCCGTTAAGGTCTGGATGAACGGCGAAGAGGTTCACAAAAACGCTGTCAACCGGGGTGCTGGCGATTTTCAGGACACATTTGAGGTGGATCTGAAAAAAGGCGATAACGTTTTTATGGTTAAAGTGTGTGAACGCGGCGGCGGGTTGGAGCATGTTCGCTGGGATCGATGCTCCTTTGGAATATAACCTGAAGTTCAAGGGACTTCCTGTTGAACCCGCTGGCAAATTAGCAACGCAGTGGGCAGAAGTCAAACGTTCTTACTAAGTTGGTATTTTGAGTCGGTATTATTGTCCGGGGTTCGTAATTCGGAACCGCTTTTACCGGCTAAAACTGCACAAAGTTTTTTGTGCTTGATTTAATTGTGGTATATTTGATATACTAACCTAAAGAGGTTGTCCTATCTTTAATAAAATAAGCGTCGGGCAATATTGTAGCCTTGATCCGTTGATTGAGGCGCGATCCGCCCCGCAAGAACGGGCAACACTGATTTCACTTGTTTGGTTTAAAAGTAAAAAATTAATTGGAGGATTTTCATGTATAGAAAACTGTTCACAATAGGGCTTGCATTCCTCATAACGCTTTTTGCAATGACTATGGCGGATGTCGCCAATGCCCAAGACAAAATTACGGGTCCCTGGCTCTGGATGATTGCCCCAACCGCAGCAAACGAAGGCGGCGCAAATTCGACCGATGTCGATTCACTTGCTGAAGCCAGTGGTGGTGATGTCACTGAGGACGATGTCGCAGCAAACGGTGCCAGCGAAGGCGACGCTGTCGGTGACCTGGTATGGACGCTCGGCGAGATTACCGATACAGGCGGCAACAACGTCAATGATCTCGTCAATGAGATCGGCTTGGGTGAAGGCGATGTCAACGACCATTCGTCTTATGCACTCATCACGCTTGAATCCGCTTCTGATCAGAGCGGCGTGGATATGAAAGTCGGCAGTGATGACTCTGTCAAGGTCTGGCTCAACGGTGCAGTGGTTCACACAAACGCTGTCAACCGCGGTGCTGGTGACTTTCAGGACACATTTCAGGTTGACCTGCAAACAGGCAATAATCTCTTACTCGTGAAGGTCAGTGAACGTGGTGGTGGTTGGAGCATGTTCGCCGGTGTTGATGCCGACGTGAATGCTGTCTATAAAGCCCCCGGTGGTGTAGATGGAAAAATTACGGGTCCCTGGCTCTGGGTGATTGCCCCGACTGCAGCAAACGAAGGCGGCGCAAATTCGACCGATATCGATTCGCTTGCTGAAGCCAGCGGTGGTGATGTTACTGAGGACGATGTCGCAGCAAACGGTGCCAACGAAGGCGACGCTGTTGGTGACTTGGCGTGGACACGTGGTGAAATCACCGATACCGGCGGCAACAACATCAACGATCTCGTTAATGAGATTGGCTTGGGCGAAGGTGATGTCAATGACCATTCGTCTTATGCACTCATCATCCTTGACGCTCCCGAAGCTCAGGATGGCGTTCCGGCGAAAGTCGGTAGCGATGACTCCGTCAAAGTCTGGTTCAACGGCGAAGTGGTTCACACAAACGCTGTCAACCGTGGGGCTGGCGACTTCCAAGATGATTTCACAGTTGACCTGGTAGCAGGTAAAAATGTCCTGTTGGTGAAGGTCAGTGAACGCGGCGGCGGTTGGAGCATGTTCGCGGGTGTCGGTGGCACGTGGGATATTTACCCTGGATATGATGCCGTTTCCGTCGAACCTGCAGGGAAACTCTTCACAACTTGGGGAAGCCTGAAAACCAAGTAATGTTTGGCTTTGCCATGCATAGTTAAAAATTAAAGGACGTAGCCAAAATGTATCGGTTGCGTCCTTTTCCTTTTTAAGTCTTGCTATCGTCCCACGAGTTCCATAAAGACGGGTAACGATTCTCTAAATCCGTCCTCGCGTGTCCCGTCCACCGGTGTGTAGACGCTCTCTAAGGAGATCGCACCGTCGTATCCATCCCGTTTCAGCGCATCCACGATGTCATTGTAGTAAGGATCCATCTGTCCTTGACGCATCGCACAGAAATCGAATGTCGCCGCTGGGAGGTTCACAACCCCATCCTTGAGATGAACGTGGGCAATGTGTTCGCGGATAATTTCGTAGCCGTTCGGATAGGGAATTTCGGTACAATAGAGCGAACTACACGGATCCCAGAGTACTTTTAAATGCGGCGCGTCTAATTCATCAATCAACTTTCTCGCAAGGTGTGCCGATGTCACGTTACCGGAGATTGCGGTTTCAATGACAAGCGTAATGCCCGCCGCATCGGCGATTCGCAACGGTTCCTCTAATCGGTTCAGGAGTGTTGTCCAAGCATCTTCGGAGATAACAGGTTCTGCCCCAAAAAGCACCATCTCTTTTCGGAAACTAAAAATCCTAACGAGGTTCGTGCCAAGTGCTTGGGCAACACCGATACATCGTTGTAACGTCGCAATGTGTCCACGATACGCAGGCGCATCAACTGCCGTATCCACAGGAAGTGCCGTGAGATTGTGATGCGATATACACGAAACTTTTAGATGCCGCTCCTCGATTAACCCTTTGACTCGCTCTATGTCCGCATCCGTCAGATCGCCAACCTGCTTTTCCCAAAGGTACTGTAATTCAACGTATTCCAATCCAGTTTCTACCATCGTATCGAGCGCATACTCGAAGTCCCGGCTGATTCCATCTGTGATCGTTCCCAATTTGAACATTCAATCCCTCTCAATTTCTTTGTCTCTGTAGGCTTTAAAAATGCTAAATACACTCTCCGAAGAACCCTGTCGCGCAATTATTCCGTTTTTCGGACCTCAATACCTGCAATGTTTTCAAGGATTTTGATAATCGTCCAGTTATCCTCGTCAGGATTTACGGCTTTTCCGGCTTGAAATAGTTCAAAAGCGGCACTTGCCGCGAAAAGCGGCACACCACAATCGCTTGCCATATTTTTCGCCAAAGTGAGGTCCTTATACATTGTGCCGATATTGCTTTGTCCCTTGAAATTTCGATCCAATATATTTTGTGTTGTGTCCCTGAAAAGGAAATTCCCAACAACACTTGTGCTGACAACGTCGCGAAGTGTTTCCGGTGCTACACCTGCCTTCACTGCCAAGGTCAGTGCTTCAAAGATACCGGCATAAGTGACGCCTATTAGGACTGCGAGTGCTGACTTGACGGTTTGACCCATCCCAGCCGCTTCCCCAACATGGTAGATGTCCCGTCCGACGGCTTCAAGCACGGGTTTCGATGCTTCAAACGTCTCACGTGGTGCCGACACCATCATTGTGAGAGTTCCCGCAGCTGCGCCGGGTGCTCCACCACTGACAGGCGCATCGACAACATTAAACCCTTTTTCTGTCACCAGTTCAGCAACCTCTATCACCTGTGAGCGTCCGATAGTTGCCGTACAGATGACCGTGCCTCCCGGTTTGAGTCCTGCCAGCAACCCATCTTCTGTAAGGAGTGCTGATTTAACCTGTTCAACATTCAGGACCATGATAAAGACGGTGTCTGCCGCCGCACCCACTTCGCGCGGTGATGTAGCGGCGTATGCCCCCTCTTGCACGAGTGCTTCCAACGGCTCTGGACGGACATCGTACACTGTGAGTTCGTGTCCTGCTTTCAGGATGTTTCTTGACATCCCCATACCCATGTTGCCAACCCCGATTAATCCAACTTTTGCCATAAATTACCTCAAAGCGTCTCATAAATAATAGTATGTAGTATTGACACAGATTCCGCATCCTTTCAGAGTTGTATTTTGTATACGATCCCGCTGCGACTGTGCCAGTAAACGTCGGTTGAGTCTACCATAAATTTTTGGAAATGTCAATGCGTTTCCCATTTGGCTATGCAGATGTAATTTTTATACGAATTTTTCTGGTTTATGCTATAATAACGTCAGTTCGACTAAAACATTTCGTCCGTCTAAAGGTTTCATTTTCGCCTGTCAAAGACATAAAAGGAGAAGCCTTTTATCGAACTCACGTTATAATAAGGCATTCATACAAGAAAAAGAAGGAGCCAAAACAAATGGCTGATACCATCAAAGGTGCCGTCCTCGGATATGGAGCGGCATTTAATATGGGCAAAGCCCACGCAAATATGATGCAAAATACAGATGGCATCGAATGTGTTGCCATCTGTGACATCGACCCGGCGCGAACAGAAGCCGCGAAAGAGGATTTTCCCGGTGTCCGCACCTATAACTCGGTTGAAGAACTCAATGCGGACGATGGCATCGATCTTATCGCGAATGTCCTTCCGCATAGTCTGCACTGCGGTCCTACTGTAGCAAGTCTTAAAGCAGGCAAGCACGCCATCGTCGAGAAACCGATGTGCGTCACAATCGCAGAAGCCACTGAAATGATTACGACCGCCAAAGAGAACGACGTTATGTTGTCCGTTCATCACAACCGACGATGGGATGCCGACTTTTGGACGCTTCGCGAACTCGTTCACTCCGGTGTTATCGGCAAAGTCTTTAGCGTTGAGATGTGGGGTGGTGCGTGCTATGGCAGACCCAATCCAGATTGGTGGCGCATGGTCAAAGGCGATCTCCGGTGGACAATTCTACGATTGGGGTGCCCACTACCTGGATTGGCTACTCAATATCATTGAGACACCGATGATTACGTCACCGGCTTCTATCAACCGAACCTCGTCTGGGACGATATTACCAACGAAGACCATGTCCAAGCGATTGTGCGGTTCGCAGGTGGAGAGGTCGTTGCGGATGGAGCGGCGGCGAATATCCAGATGTCTAATATCGCGAAAATTGGTGGAGAGCGGTGGAAACTGCTCGGCTCACACGGCGCGATTACCGCCGAAGATAGTGGATTTAAGGTCTTATCCGAAGTCAAGGGACAGCCCAAAGAGCAGCAGGTCGGTCACCATCGCAGACCCGGACCTACCTACTATCAGAATATCGTCGCTCACTTTAAACGATGGCACGCCGTTGCTTGTGACAACCGGAGTCGGCCGCCGCGTTATCGCTGTCATGGATTTGGCGGAAAAATCTGCCAAGACACTCAGGCAGAAACAGTTGCCTTACGAATTTTAATTGGTTACTATGTCGGGTTGAACGTTAAAGCGCCTAGTTCAATTGAGCTACGGATGCAGCTTAAAATTGGCGCGTGTCTTTGAGCTCGGGTTCCTATTAGAAATGCGGGTCTCGGGCATGAGGTATAGAGTATACAGTCTAAGTCGTGCAGTTTGCGGCTACCCGCAAATGACATGACAAACCGCAAGACACGTGACGTAGGTACGTGCCCACACATGTCCATAATACAGGACTTACGCCAATTTTGAGCATCGCATGCCCTGAGTGAGAGAGATCGTATAATACGCAGACGGTTTCTGACACAACCTACAGGTTATGCTCAAAGAGCAACGTCGTAAGTCCTATTAAAAAAATGAAAGCATCGTTTTTGAGAAAATTCAGCAATACGTATTCATGAGAAACCCATCCCGACACTTACTACGGTGATGTGCTCATTGAGATAGAACTCTGCGGATTTGCGCGTCTGACCTCGCCGCGCTACGTGGAGATGTATCGGATTACGCGCCACCCATCGTGATGGGACACGAACTCGCAGGCATAGTGGTAGAGAGTCGGCACCCCGATGTCAAAATCGGGGAACGGGTTACAGTCAATCCGATGCTTTCCTGCGGTGTATGTCCCGAATGCCAGAACGATCTGGGACAATACTGCAATACCATTGAGGGCATCGGTTCACGATATTGATGGTGGTTACGCCGATACTATGCGGATGCCAAAACACGGCGTGGATACCGGCAAACTTATCCGAGTGCCCGACAGGCGTTCTACCTGAAGCGTTACTCTTTCTGGAACCCTTGGGGTGCTGCCCTGAATGCAATGCGGGAAACACTTTTCAAGAATACTGTTGCTATTCTGGTGCCGGTCCCATCGGCTTGATGTTCACGCAATTGGCGAAGCGAGCGGGTTTGACACCTATGTGTTTGAACCGCTGGCGCACTCGTAGGGCTGTCGCCGAAACCCTCGGTGCCGATCTCACTTTTGATGCCTCACCGAGGCTATCGCGCAGCTCCAGGACATCACCCGCGGCGGCGTTGATACTGTCATCTCTTCCACAACCAACAATGCGTCCCGTAATACACTCGCTTTTGATATGTCCGCCAGAGGGGGATGCGTCAACTTCTTTGGGCTCGCTCCGGATGGCGAAACGCTCACTATCAACTTAGAAGAATTCCACTATGCAGGTCATAAACTGATGGCTTCGTGGGCATTTTCCCGCGCGAGTCTTGAAGAGTCGCGGCAGCACACCTGATAAAAAACAGCATCAATTTGAGCCGCTGTTAACAGATCGGTTTCCAATTGAACAAGGTTTAGCGGCGTTCGATAATGCTGGCGCGGGGCTTGGGGTCAAGACAGTCGTCCATCCGTAGTAAGGTCTCATCAGATTGATAATTTCCCTAACCTTATATTATCCGAAGCGGTGTCTTTCGCTTCGGAAATTTTGCGTATAACATACAATTTGTGTGGATTAACACCCAATTTCTGCATGTTAGCAGTTGGGAAATTACAAATAGATTTAACTTCTTTAGCGGATGTGTTTTTTTTACAGAAAAAATTGACGCTTACCTTCATCCCAATAAACCTAATAGGTATCTGTATTTTAGACCCATTACAGCAAAAAACACGCTTGGAATATCGGCAGTTTTGACGCGAAGATACATTTTATTTGAGGAATTGGCACGAAAACTTGCTTTATAATCATGTTGGGACATTGTTATTGTCAGATTGTCTGTATAGAAAATAATCTGGTATGTCTATTGAGGTTAATCTATTTTTCGTTGGATTGCAAATTAATGTCCTCCAGTATAGGTGGGTTGAGCGGAGAGAAATAAGTGCTATTAAATTCTAAAATTTTTGACAAACACTCCCCCGTAACATATTTTAAACGCTTTGTGTTTGACTTCGTTGCTTTTTTGTTGTATCTTTAATAACATAGAGTGCTAAATAGGTCTAACTACAGACATAATAGGGAGATACCAATTTCGGTGTGGGAAACACCCAAGCAAAAACACCCGAAACTTGTAAAAATATGATCCTCGGTGCACATGTATCTACTGCAGGCGGTTACAGAATGCCATTACAAATGGCGACAAACTCCACTGCGACACAATCCAAATTTTCTTGAGAAACCCAAACCGGTGGGTGGCGAAACCGCCGCTCCCCGCAGTAATTGATAAGTTTCGCGATGCTTGGGCGGCATCTCCAATTGGGGAAGTGATTATTCACGATATTCACTTGAGCAATCTCGCCTCACCGAAAACAGATGTCCGCGAAAAATCGCGCCAACAGTTTCAGGAGCAGATGGAACTTGCGGATACTCTCGGTCTCCGCTACATCGTAACGCACCTCGGCTCGCACCTCGGCGAAGGTGAGGAGCCCGGCTTAAAACTGTTAAGCGAAAGTTTCGATTTTCTATTTGAAAACGTTGAGGCACCGGATGTCACTGTTCTCCTTGAAACCACCGCCGGGCAAGGCACGAACCTCGGCTACTGCTTTGAACATTTGCGTGATGTCATCGGTATGTCAAAATACCCAGATCGGTTTGGTGTCTGTTTGGATACCTGTCATGTTTTCGCCGCTGGCTACGACATCCGGACTGAGGCTGATTGCGAGGTCAACATTTAATCAGTTCGACGAGGTCATCGGCTTAGCGCGATTAAAGGCTTTTCATCTCAACGACGCAAAATCAACCTATCAGAGTCGCGTGGACCGGCATGAACACATCGGCGATGGCAATATCGGTGCAACCGCATTCGCTTATATCCTCAACGATTCCCGGTTCGCGGAAATTCCGCTCATTATTGAAACACCACAGATGGAGACAATGCACGAGACAAACCTCACAACCTTACGCGGATTAAGTGTGTAAAGTGGTCTGCAGGTTTTCCCGATTGCGTCTAAAGAACGGCGGGGAGTCAAGGGTGTCTATCGGTTTTTGGGAAGTTGCCTTTCTCATTATTCTTTTTTTGGGAATCGTTATTGTGTCTCGTCTTGTTGAACGTTTTCGGATGAAACGTATCTGTCCTGCGTGTGGGTTGGCAATTCGCACACATACGCAAACCTGTCCGTCATGCAAGTACAATTTTCCTACAAAGGCATAAAATCATGGATAAAACGAAATTGAAAATCGATGGAATGTCCTGTCAACATTGCGTCAAAACGGTAACCGATGCACTCACAGAACTTCCGGGCGTTCGACGTGCGAAGGTAAACTTACGCAAAGCCGAGGCTGTCGTTCATTTCGATGCCTCGCGCGTTACCCCCGCAAATCTCACAGAGGCGATAACCGCAGTGGGTTTTAAGGTTTTTGAATAATATTCAATCGGCTAACGAATTGAAAAGGCACTATTTGTATTCCTTAAGGTTAAACGGACTGCTTTACAATCACTCATTAACTGGCAGCGTCCGCGTCTCCAATAAAATAACTAAAATAAGAATGGAGGTAATTGATGAAAAAATTGCTTATTGCAATTTTTATAGTGTCTCTGACTGTCATTGGATGTGAGATCCCATATACAGGTCCCATGCTAACGGTTGATGATGTAGACCGGTATCTTTACTCGACGGGTGAGGACGCTGTCTGCCTGCAAGACGGACTTGACTCTCTCTGCGTAAAGCTGACTCCGGGACCCCAAGGAACCAGAGGCCCCCAAGGACCACAGGGACCCCAAGGACCACAGGGACCCCAAGGACCACAGGGACCCCAGGGAAACCTGGTGTAAACGCTCCAGTCATCCACATTCATGAAAACAGTATCCTTTACGATTTCTATTATGAAGACAGACTGATTCTGCGCGCAGAGCAGCAGGCGGACACCTCTGAGATTATAGAGCAGTTGACAGCACAAGAGCAAGACGGCAACAACGATGATCCGACGGTGCCAACAGTACAGCCAAGTACTGTCGATACAGACAAGAAGGTAGGGTGGATCGTGTGGATAACCCACCAAGAAGATCGAAATGGTGACGGACTCGGTGACCGCCCCGTGGGGCAGGACAAATTTTAAGTGTGACACCGGACTTCAGGTCACAGTACACACCAGAGATGAAAACGGCTTGTTGTACACCTTACCACATCTTATGAGAAAGATGAGAATGGTAATCAAATCCCAGTAGTCAGGGAGTGTGCACAAACCAAAGGTGGTCCCGGCGGAGATGCCCTTCAATCTTCGTTTCAACGAAATAAAGTAAGAAATGTTATAGCTTCAGTCATCGGTTTATTCCCAACATAAGGCAATATTCCCAAGATACGGTGGTCAGGATAGCGTTGAACGCCAATAACTTCCACGTTCCAAGTGATCCTCTGTGATAGCACCAACAACCAAGGTGGGGCTTCGGTTTCATAGCACTGCGGTTTTCTCAACGAGTCCACCGTCTAATGATTGCTCACCAGCAGGCGATTCCCCTGTATCCTGAATATTAAGTGGATACGGGCATATCGTGCGAAAACTTTCACGGCTATCCCCGCCTGGCTCGATCCAACAGGATAGAAAAGTGAAAGAGTGGTAGCAAACGCAACGTGCGGGATTCACCTCGCTCCGACGGTATTACGCGCCGCTACGATATATGTTTTTAGCAACGGTATCACTGCCCACTCTGTTTAGGCCAACCTTCACAGAGCCGGCCAAAACTCCTGCACACAAGGTATAGGGCAGGGTGCGGAAAGCGTTGTCCAGCAAGTTACAGGTATTATACACATTTTTAGGTGATGTCAAGTTATTTTGGCTTTCAAACGCAATGCCCGCCTCATCCGCAAGCTAAAGCATGGGGGGAAACATTGGCGATGTGGTTAACGACAAAACGAACCTTCAGCATACGCCAAATGTTTAAGTCGAACTGAAGCTAACTCAAATAAGCGAGATAATTTTCATCGCGTTTTGGGTTTCTTCAAATTTCCGTCAGCGATTGGAGTATAGAAAATCAAGAGTCGCTTACTCCAAAGCCCAGAGGGGCGACATCTGTGTAGAACACGACGAACCCCAAGTCTAAAGCCCCAGAGGGGCGACATCTGTATCATTGAAACATCTCTAATTGTCCAATATAAACTGCACTTGAATATCCATAGCTTTTTTAGGTAGCAACTTGGGTTAAAAATAAGAATGGAGGTAATTGATGGAAAAAAATTGCTCATCGCAATTTTTATAGTGCCCTGGCTGTCACTGGATGTGAACTCCCTTATACAGGTCCCATACTAACGGTTGATGATGTAGACCGGTATCGTCACTCAGTGGGTGAGGACACTCCGTGCTTGCTTGCCGGGTTTGATTCTATATGCGTAAAGGTTATTCCGGACCCCAAGGACCACAGGGACCCCAAGGACCCCAGGACCCCAAGGACCCCAGGGACCAAAGGACCCCAAGGAACCAGGAAACCCTGGTGTAAACGTCCCCATCATCCACATTCATGAAAACAGTATCGTTTACGATTTCTATTATGAAGAAAAACTTATTCTGCGTGCAGAGAAGCAAACGGACACCTCCGAGCTCTTAGCACTGTTAGCGGCACAACAAGGTAATCAGGTGGTGGCACTAAGGCGTAATAACTGGTGGCAACAACGGTGGCAACAACGGCGGTATCACTCCTCTGACAATGGCGGTGACGGCAACTGACAACACTGGTGGTGGCGGTCAAAACACTGACAAACACTGACAACATGACAACACGACAAAAACGACACAACACTGACAACACTGGCGACAACTGGCAACCGATGAGGGGACACTAACACCGATGAGGACAAGAGGGAGGCATTAATCCGGGAACCCCTAAAGAAATAGATGTGCACCACATTCGACCCAGGGGATGGTTAATCTGGATAGGTTACCTTACCCCACCAAAAAAAAATGTTTGAAATATTCCACTTCGTTTGCGGCACATCAAAATAAGCGGTTCCGTATCAAACAATTAAAAGACAAAATATGGGGAAGTAGTAGTATAATACCGGATTCCGAAATAACCGCATTTGCGAAAACAAGAAAGCCATGACGGCAGAAGAGACACGGCGTTCAGCGTTCAGTTCAGGGTCAATATAGATAATGGCGGGAATCAGCAACACTTATGAGGACCCCAGATAATCATGTCCGTGGAAGGTTTGAGAGCCAGTATCCAACGATTCACGTCTTACAAGCAGAGTTCAAGATTGAAGAGGGCAAGGTAGTTCAGCGGAACCAAGTAACCCCCTCCAAACTTGATTGAACCTGGACCTAATATAGTGTAAAGCCGACGAAAAAATTACGCGGACACTTTAGAAAACACAAAGCACCCTCCTCGCTGGCGGGGTTTCGTAACCCCGCCAATCTTTTGATCTATGCGTAATTGTATATCTTGCTGTAAAATATCCCTAAAACAAAGTCGAGGCATTCAATTCTCCCGTAGGAGGGATTCTCCGAAAATCCTGGGGAAACAACCCAAGCAAAAACCACTCCTCTTCTTAGGAGCGACTCACGTCGCGACGCTTGATTTTCAAAACGGTAGCCGCGTAGTGAATCACCGATGAACGCGGGTGTTATAGCATTCGGAAGGGTTGAACGGCACCATAAGAAGTCAACAGTTAGCCCAGTAGGGCGGCATCTCGTAGAACAAAGGTTCCTTCGATTATTTGAACCCGTAGGGGGACATCTGGTGTCAATTTGGTTGAGTAATTAGAGAACTCCAAATCCCAACGAATATTAGTTTCGGTTTCAGGGCGGGCGGCTGATACCACCTCTTCGGAAAAACTATCAGAGGCTGACATAGCCTCGTTCCAACCTAAATCCTCTTTTCTGCTGGACCGCTATGTAACCCAAGTGCCACTTGTTATAGACATAGCACTCAGCTGGAGTGCGGTCGCTGAAAATATGCCGTTTCTATAGATATAGCACCCCTCTGGGGTGAGGAAGTGCTTCAAAACCTTCTGAAACGTTGTGAAAACTCTTAGTAGTACTTGGGTTATTGTAGGAGCGACCTCCCGGTCGCGACCTTTCACACGAAATCGCTAAAAAAACCGATAACTGAATAACTCTGCTAAAATGGTTGAGATGAAGTTGCAAACCGCTACAGAGTTGGGTATAATTAATAGAGAGCGGTTCATATCTAAGCGTATTACAGTGACAAGATGTTTTGGTTAACACAGTAGGCAATCAGCGTAGACTTCATTTTCTGAAATGTGGCATATATGGATACAGCAAGAATTCAGGTCAAAGCAGGCGATGGCGGGAACGGATGCATCAGTTTCCGCCGAGAGAAATATGTCCCTTACGGCGGTCCCGATGGCGGGGACGGCGGTAACGGCGGAAACGTTCTCTTTGTCGCTACCCTTGGGATGAGTACGCTGATCGATTTGCGTCATAACCCACGTCAGGTCGCTGAAAACGGTGGACACGGCATCGGCAAGCGGCGAGACGGTGCCGATGGCGCAGATTGCGTTGTTAAAGTTCTGCCGGCACCATCATCAGAAATCTTGACACAGCCGAGGTGCTTGCAGATCTGACAGAGCCTGATGAAACCGTTGTTGTCGCACGTGGCGGAATTGGAGGTAAGGGCAATGCTTGTTTTAAAAGCAGCATCTTTCAGGCACCACGCGTTGCAGAAAAAGGGGAACGGGGAAGAACGCGAAATAAGCCTCGAAGTCAAACTCATCGCTGATATCGGGTTGGTCGGCTATCCGAACGCCGGTAAATCGACACTGCTGGCGCGAACCTCTGCCGCGACTCCGAAAATCGCCGCCTATCCGTTCACCACACTCCGTCCGAATTTAGGGGTTGTCCGCATCAATCGGGAGCAGAATTTCGTCCTCGCCGACATCCCTGGGTTGATAGAAGGCGCCACAAAGGTGCAGGCTTGGGACATCGATTCCTGCGACACATTGAGCGCACTAAGATGCTGATTCATGTCATCGATCTGAGCGCGACCGATGGACGGGATCCGATCAGGACTACGAACAACTCAACCTGAACTGGGCATTACAACGAACTGTGACAAAACTCCCGCAAATCATTGCTCTGAATAAGATAGATATGCCAGACGCTGAGGCGAATTTGGAACGTGTCCCAAAATATTTCGGTAACCGGAAGTCTTCCCTATCTCTGCGGTTACAGGTGAGGGTGTGAACCCGCTTATGCAGCAAGCGTACCGCTCCTTACAATACCTTGAAACGCGCGCCCGAAAGGAAGCGGAGACGACGATTGTCTTTGAGCAGGAACTTCCATCAGAGCCGCGCCCACGGTTTGAACTTGCTGAGACACAGGACGGGTTTGTTGTCAGCGGTGAAGAACCTCGCCGCGCTGTCCTCATGACCCACATGGAAAACGAGCAAGCACTGATTCTACTGTACCGGAAGTTGAAAAAGATGGGAGTGATTAACGCACTGGAACGCGCAGGTGCAGTGGAAGGAGACACCATCCAGATTGATGAATTTGAGTTCACCTATAGCCCACGATCAATACAATCCCGCTGAACAGCGCACCTATTGTCAGACGTGAAACGCGTTGTCGTAAAAGTGGGCAGCAGTACCATTTCGAAAGGCGCACACCTCAACGAAGATGCACTCCATGGCTCGTCCACGATTTAGCACTCGTTAAACAGGACGGTTGTGGAGGTTATCCTTGTCACATCTGGGGGCAATCGCCGCGGGTTGGCCCCGACTCGGTTTGAAACAACGTCCGCAGACGCTACCGCGCTTACAAGCCGCCGCCGCCGTTGGACAGATCCAGTTGATGGCAGTCTACGAGAAGCTATTCGCAACTATGGGACAACAGGCAGCACTCATGCTCCTCACACGCGACGATTTCTCTAATCGGGAACGCTACACCGCATGAAACGACACAATGCGCGCCCTCCTACATCTCGGCGTGATTCCGATTATCAATGAAACGATACCGTCGCGGTGGACGAGATTCGGGTTGGTGATAACGATACTCTCTCTGCTTACGTAACAAACCTCGCCCAAGCGCAACTCCTCGTCATCCTTTCAGATCAGGCGGGATTCTACACCGCAGACCCCAGACACGACCCTAACTCGGAATTGATACACACTGTTACGACCATCTCAGAGGGCATCTGGAAAGCCGCCGGGCAAGCTGGCACAACAAGCGGCACTGGCGGGATGGTGACGAAATTGCAAGCCGTGATATCGTCACCGGATCCGGAGAGATGATGGTGCTGGCACACGGACAGGAACCGCTTGTCGTAACAAGGCTCTTGAAAGGTGAGCTTCTCGGAACGTTATTCCTTCCAAATTCCCGTATCTCTGGAAGGAACGGTGGATCGCCTATTCACGTCCGCCTAAAGGCAGGCTCTTTGTGGATAACGGCGCACGGGACGCGCTCGTGCAAGGTGGTAAAAGCCTACTCCCTGCTGGCATCCGACGCGTTGAAGGTGATTTTGACTATAGCGATACCGTCTCGTGCCTCACCGAAAACGGCACGGAATTCGCACGCGGTTTGGTGAACTATAATGCCGTGGAGACTGCCAAACTCGCAGGAAAACACACCAAGCACATTGAGAATATTCTCGGCTACCGCGATTACGATGAAATCATACATCGAGATAATTTGGTATTACTCGACTGATTTCGCTCATCTGCCGAACGGTGAAATAACCTATAGACATTTTGCCCCGCTGGAGCAAGGAGGCACATTGTACTTTCTGCCATCAGGCAGAACCTATCTGTGGACCGAAATAGGTAGCTCCGCTGGAGCAACTCAGGATGGTATGTTGGTGTATCTACAGACATTTTGCTCCGCTGGAGCAAGGATGTGCATTGTATTCTCGGTTTCCGTGAGACAGAACCTGTCTGTGGACCGAAACAGGTAGCTCCGCTCGAACAACCACGGGCATTATATTTTCTGCCGTTAGGCAGAACCTGTTTGTAGAATAAAGTGCCCCTGTGTCTCTTTTACTCCGTTAGGAGTTACCTATCTATAAAACCTGAAAACACAAAAATCGAAACACACAAAAGAGGCAAATATCAATGGCAAACACTTACATCCAACTTACGTTCATATCGTATTTTCGTTAAAGCGAGACATGCCCTGATACCTAAACGCCACAAGACAGAACTCCACCAATATATCACCGGCATCATCACAAAGCGAAAACAAAAGGTTATTCAAATCAACTCAATGCCGGATCACATCCATATCCTCATCGGAATGACACCGGGTATCGCGCTCTCAGACCTGGTGCAGTCTATCAAAATCGGCAGCACCCGATTCATAAATCGGCAGGGCTGGATCGCCGGCAAATTTCAATGGCAGGAAGGTTTTGGCGCGTTCAGTTATTCCCGCTCTCAGTTAAATACCGTCGCCGCTTACATTGAGAATCAGGAAGAACATCATTCTCGGCAGACCTTTCATGAGGAATATCTTGAGTTTTTGAAACGTTTCAACATCCCCTACGATGCAAAGTACGTCTTTGATCTGGAAGCACCGCTCGAATCTCCCAGAAGATAGACCGGCAGTGCGACGGATATTTCTAACTTCGCCGCGTGCTCGCACTTTTTTTTCAACAAAATTTGGCTGTGCAATTCCATTGAAAATTTTCCAAAACTTATGTTATAGTAACAATCAGGATTTCCAATTACCGTCTACTTATGGCGACCTCTCAAAGGAATACCATGAACGGAAACATTCAAAAACTGATCCAATCGCAGGCGCAAAAGGCAAAATCGGCAATGCGCGTTTTATCGCGAAGTTCCGCCGATGTCCGAAACCACGCCCTCTTAGCGATGGCTGAAAGCTTACAGAATTCCAAAGATAAAATTCAGGACGCAAATCGCATTGATCTCGAAAACGGCGAAAAAACCGGACTCGCTGCACCCCTCATGCAACGCCTCCTGTTGGACGACAAGAAGATTGAACGGATGATGGACAATCTCCGTCAAGTCGCTGCCCTCCCCGATCCAATTGGCGCCGTCATCAGTATGGGGTGAACGTCCCAATGGGCTCAAAATTGGCACAGTCCGTGTGCCTATCGGTGTTGTTGCTGTGGTGTATGAATCGCGCCCTGACGTTACTGTTGAGGTATCAGCACTCTGCATCAAGTCCGGAAACGGGGTTATCCTCCGAGGCGGCTCCGAAGCCATTAACTCCAACGCGACACTCGCGGATATCCTCAGCGATACCGCTGCTGCAGAAGGCGTGCCAGATGCCATCCAGTTCGTTAACACGACCGACCGGCAAGCGGTCTATGAACTCATCCGATTGCCAGACTACGTTGACCTCGTCATTCCACGCGGCAGCAACGAATTCGTCCAGTTTTTGATGAAAGAATCCGATGTCCCGGTCTTAGGACATGCCGATGGCATCTGTCATATCTACGTTGACGCAGCCGCCGACCTTGATATGGCAACCAAGATCTGCATAAATGCGAAAGTCGGCTACAAGGTTGCTGTCTGCAATGCCGTAGAGACACTCCTTGTCCATACCGATGCTGCCGAGAAATTCCTTCCTATTCTCTGTGACAAGTTACAGGGTGCGGATGTTGAAATCCGTGGATGCGAACGAACGCAGCACATCTATCCGGCAGCGAAACCCGCAACCGAAGAAGATTGGCGGACAGAATACCTCGATTATATCTTATCCGTTCGAGTGGTAGATGACATAGGCACAGCCATTGACCACATTGAAACTTACGGTTCGCACCATTCCGATGCGATTATCACCGAAAGTTACAGCGCGGCGCAACGGTTTCTCAAAGAGGTGGATTCCGCCGCAGTCTACGTCAATGCCAGCACTGTCTTCACCGACGGCTATGAATTTGGATTAGGTGCCGAGGTCGGGATTAGCACACAGAAACTCCACTCCCGTGGTCCGATGGGACTTGAAGGATTGACGACTTATAAGTATATCATCTACGGAGACGGTCAGGTGCGCGAGTAGGTGCTCGGTGGTTCTCCTGCTATCGAACTGATGAAGTTATAGGTGCCTATAACTCCGTCTATCTCAAGTACGCCTTTCCTCAATTGCGTCATGTCCACTCATGCACCCCAGTCCCAAGCCTCCCTCCTCAAGAACGTACTTATTATTACACCCCTGAGTCTGATTGGACGTGCGGGAACATTTCTTATCTACGTCGTTCTCGCCAATTGGTTCGGCGACCCAGCAGAGATGGATTTTATCTACTATTACTGGGGCATCGCCGTATTCCTGATAGAATTGCTCAGTGCCGCTTCCGCCTATTCTGTCCTCGTCCCGATGTTAGCTGAAGCCCGCGCGAAAGGCGAAACCGAGGCACAACGTTGTGTACAATCCATTTTTTCCCAATATATCATATTCATGCCGGGACTCTGCTGCCTCCTCGTCTCCGTGTCATGGGTTATTTCCCAACTTTTTTTACCGAACGCGGGGCTACCCTCCTCTACGACAATCGGCATTGTGTGTGGATTCCTCTGCTTCGCGATCATCGCCGCAGCCCGCTGGATGCTCAAGGCAATCTTAGACACCTACCAAGCCTTTCATTTACCGGTCATTGTGCAAGGACTCCGTGCTATCCTTGTCATCGGCGTAATATACCTGTGCAAGCCGTTTCTGACCTGGTTTAGCATACCACTTGCCCTGATCATCGGCGAACTTTTCCAATTGCTTCTCCTATTTTCGACGATGCTGTACCGTTCTGAATCTATCCGCGCTTCATCTTAAACTCAGTTGGCAGACGACACCGTACACGACGCAATTCCTGCGGCAATGTCTACTGATGATGGGCGCAGCGATCTCAGACGGGTTAAACCCTGTCGTCGACAGAGGTATGGCGAGTTCATTGGGGGCAAGTTCCGTCTCGAAATTGGATTATGCACTCCGTCTGTGTGCAATCCCTGAAACACTCACGGGTGTAACGCTTCCAGTCTTACTGTCGCATTGGGCAAAGATATCGTCCCCCGATTCGCAATCCGGGAAACGTTTAAAAACAGGTCGGGAATCGGAGTTCCCTCCTACAGGAACACGGCTACAGCGAAGTGTCTGGCAAAGTGTCGTTGTGCTACTCATCCTGATGGTCCCGTTTCTGATAGGCTTTTACCTTTTCCGAGTGGACATTGTCACGCTATTGTATGGACACGGCGAATTGTCCGAGGCAGGACAGTCCCATATCGCTTCGCTGCTCGGCATCTATCTATTAGGAATGCTTCCGCGTTTAATCAGTCGCTTGCTAATCCGGGCACATCTCGCACGTCAAGCCCATCGGACCGTTGTCACGGCAACGCTTATCAGACTTATCCTAAATCCTTTTCTCAATTGGTTTTTCATGCAATATTGGGGGTTAGAGGGAATCGCTTGGTCAACAGCATTGTTGTCCTACCCAATTCTTGCATATATTGCGTTTATGTTTTGGCGGAGAAGATAATGACATTGAACAAACCCAAAAAAATCTCAACGGGAACGCCCTTTGAAACGGAAATGTTATTGATTCGTAACCTCCGGTATGTTACAATATTAAGTCTATCAGAAAAAACACCACCCAATGCACTGGTGTCAAAAGGAGATTTGTATGGTTTACAAGCAATGGAATTTTGCGGTTTTAATGGTCACCTTGATTTTTTACTGGATTGGAAACAGTGTAGCGGCAGATTCAACCGCAACTGGCACTGTATTTCTGGATACAAATAGAAACCAAGTGAAGGACGACAACGAAAAAGGGTTGTCTGGGGTTCGCGTCTCTAATGGGCAGGAGGTTGTAAAAACCGATGCCAACGGGCAATACTCGCTCGCAGTCAGTGATGATACCATTCTCTTTGTCATTAAGCCCCGCGGGTTTATGACACCGATTGATGAAAATCGTCTGCCGAGATTTTATTACATTCACAAACCGCAGGGTTCACCAGAAGGACTGAAGTATGCAGGCATCGCACCGACCGGTCCATTACCGGAGTCGGTTGATTTTCCGCTCACTGAACAGTCCGAGGCTGATACCTCAAGGTACTGTCTCGGGGATACACAGCCCTATAATATGCAAGAGATTGAGTGGTTAGCACATGATGTGATAGTGAGAAGAAGTTATTGGAATTGATGCAGTGTTCGGACTCAGCCTCGGCGATTGGTAGGGTGACGATTTAAGCTTATTCCACCACTTAACGAAGTGATGGCTACCGATGGATACCATGTACAACGTCACGGTAACCATGATATGAACTTTCTCGCTACGGATGACGGTAGCGCCGATGAGACATTCGCACGTGTTTATGGTCCCGCGTGCTATTCATTTGATGGGGACCTGTCCATTTCATTCACCATCGACAATGTGTACTTTCACCGCGATGAGGAGAACAAGCCTCGCTACTTGAGTGAGGTGGGGAGACGGCAGTTGACGTTCCTTTCGAAACGACCCTTGCCTTTTGTGCCGAAGATCAGCTTGTCGTTGTATCCCTACATATTCCGTTGACCGAGATGCGCGATGTGAAGAAACTAATGGAAACTATGAATCTACTCGGCGATCGACCCGACAACGTTATCTCTATCAGCGCACACACCCTTCCCACGGATGACTTGTCGACCGGAGCACGGTTGGCACGGAGACGACGCACATCATCACCACAATCATGCAACCACATCAGGTTCTTGGTGGAAGGGCGCGCTTGATGAAATCGGTATTCCGCACACAACCATGCGAGATGGAGCACCGAACGGATATGGTATCTTTACATTCAGCGGAAATCAATATTCAATTCGGTTTAAGGCTGCCCGTCGTTCAGCGGATTATCAGATGAATATATGGGCACCCTGGGCAGTTGCGTCAACAGAAACTGACAAAACAGAAGTAATCGTTAACGTTTTTGGAGGCACCCAACGCTCAACGGTTGAAATCCGTCTGGGCGAAGCTGGGGCATGGGAGCCGATGACCTATATGCCTCAGGAAGACCCATACTATAAAGCACTCAAGGCACGGGACGATACGAACCATCTTGAGCGGAAACTGCATACCGCCCTTCGAGAAACAATGAAGCCGCAGTTGAAGGAAGACGGCGAACTGCCACAAAGGGGGCGAGGGCTTAGTGGCGTTGTAAAATCATTGCACATCTGGCAAGCTAAGCTCCCCGTGAATGCCCCCAAAGGAACACACGTTATCTACGTCCGTACGACTGATATGTTTGGTCAAACTTTCACAGGGCGCCGGATCATCCGAGTGCACTAACCCAGTATCAGTGTTCAACCGCCATTACAGTCACCGTAGCAACTTGTCTCGGAGTCCCTTAATTGCCTGTCGGTTCGTTCGACAGCTGCTTGTAGGTCGTCTCTATGTCTTCCACATAATAGCAGCGTAGGTTGGGTTGAACGGATTCCATCAAATCCCGAAAAAATCATAGAAAAATGAAGGATCGCCAGACATGCTATATCAAACAGATACCGAGTGAAACCCAACACTTTGGTTGTGAAACTTCCCAGACTCTGACCCTATGAAGTTGGGTTTCACTATGGTCTTGAGAGTATAGCGGAGTCTATCAGATTTCAGGTGGGTTTGGAACACAGATGTTCGCCTTCTCAACACCGTTCTACCCAACCTACGGGCGCACGGAAACCCTAAATTGACACCCATACGTATCGGTTGATGAAACCCAACAGTCGTACTAATCGTTTAGTACGACTGTTGGGTTTTGTTTTGATTTGGGAATATTAAAATAAATGAAAACCTCAAAAGAAAACCAAATTTTCGGGATCTTCATATCCCGTTTAACCCGAGTTATGCACTTAAGTCAAGGCGCGCTGATATACTATTTCGGTTATACAGAAACAGACAGGTCTGGTAGGGCATATCGCAGGAAGCTCTTTCAGCAGAACACATTTAATTATCTACAAATCAACTAATTCGCGCTCCCGATGTGCCGTTCGTGCGAACACGCTTTCCAACAAAGGGGCAACTTTATGACAAAGATAAAATTAAAATTGAGTGATATGTTCTGTCGACTTCGCATTAAAACACGGACGATGCGTTGACAGGACTTAAGGGTGTTCAGCGCGCCAAAGTGAATCTGCACGAAGGTGAAGCGGTCGTTCGTTTTGATACCTCGCGCACCACCTCTACCAACCTCACAGAGTCAATAACAGAAGGAGGTTTGGGAGCAGTGAGAAAAACCGCGCCCTTATCGTTAAGATTGATCGGTGGTATCCTAATTGTACTACTCAGCATAACCGGTTGTTCCGATGTCCCTTATACGGGTCCGATACTGAAAATTAACGACGTAGAAAAGTTCCTTCAATCGACGGGTGAGAGTGCAGCCTGCCTTCAAGATGGGTTTGATTCAGTTTGCATAAAACTTGTCGGAGAGGGAGCACCTGATGGGTCAGGCGATAGCGATGCCCCGATTGTCCACGTTCATCCAACGAGTCTTGCTTATGTATTTTCTTATGAAGGTCAGCCCATCTTACAGGCGGAGAGGGCAATGGACACCACCCAGATTGTGCAGGAATTGGTAGATGCGGGAAAGATTCAGCTGCCACCCAGATGGCGGGGTGTGGGGCAATGGTCGCAACAATGCCAATGTTCCCAATGATTGGATTATCCAGATATACTATCCGACTCATTCCGCGGAATAAATCGTAGGCTCAGAAGTACGGACATCAGGGTTGTAGAAGGAACGAGAATAAGACGGGACAACCGAAGGGACCTTGAGATAGAGAACTTTACACGAACCGAGGGATTCGATGGCACCCGTGGTGTTCAATTCTCCATTGACGCGGGAGCCTCACAGATAACGATTGAAGTAGACGGACTAATCCCCGACCATACCGCAGAATTCTATATCAACGCAGATGCTGTGGAATCCGATCCGGGCAGTAATACCCTCCGATTGCGACGTCTATAGTCCGCTGAGAAAATATGTGTGTCTCCAGCAGATGCTAAACTTTGACGAAATGTTCAGGGTGATTTGAGGTGATACCTTGCACACCGAATGCCTTCATTTCGCGCATACGGGAGATGTCGTCCACAGTCCAACACCAGAGTGCGATACCGCGCCGTTGGATTTCGTAAGCGAATTCCGCCGTAATCAGTTGATGATTGACATTCAGCAGGTTGCTGCCGAGTTTTCCCAATTGCTGGCACAACTGCACAGGAGAGGCGTGGTTGTTGTGATTCCCGATGAGCCACCCTGTTGGAATGCGAGGCTCTAATGAACGAACGGTCTGTAAAACAGCGGTATGGAAGGAGATGATAACGGTAAGATCTCGTGTATGGGTCTCGCGGATTCTTGCGACGACTGTCTCTGCTATCAAAGGGTCTTTAATTTCTAAAACAGCAATTGTCTGTTTCGCAATGCATTCCAGTGCCTCTACGAGCGTCGGCACCGGTTCACCAACAAATTCGGGAGCGAACCATCCCCCAGCATCGGCACGTTTAATTGTTTCTAAAGTGGTTTGGTTGACAGGTCCATGGTGGTTCGTCGTTCGATCCAAGGAGGTGTCGTGTATTACTACGACTTCGCCGTCGGCGGTCCCATGTAAATCAAGCTCAACCGCATCCACACCGATTTCGATTGCCTTCTCGAATGCCGCGAGCGTATTTTCCGGGGCACTTCCCGATGCCCCACGGTGTGCAATCCGAATCCAAGGATGCATATTTTATTATACCTTGCGGAGAAACGACGTGGTTTTGAACTCCCTTACGCGCGTTTCTTAAATCCGCCCTCCATTCCATTACGGGCTACGGGTCCGATTTTAAGAAGGCCCCACAGCATAACCGAAAACCTGTCCGTAAGCGTAGCGGAACTCAGTCAAGCGGTCCGTCAATTAAAAACCACTATCGCTCTGCTTAATCTTCTTCAAAAGAGTCGTCCGACTCATGCCGAGCAATTCCGCTGTTTTGCTGTGGTTACCCGAAAATTCATTTAACACCAGTTCAATGAGTGATTTATCTAACAGCGCAACAACCTCCTCGTAAAGCCCTTGTCTTCCTTGCATGACAGCCTCTTTTGTAACGTCTTGCAAAACAGATTTGAGGGATACTTCCAGTTGTGAGGCACCGGTAGAATCTATCTGATGCCCCGTTCGGACTTCTGGCGGTAGGTCATCTGGAAGAATCACATCTGCACGACAGAGTGTCCCCGCGCTTCGGATGCAATTCTCCAACTCACGAACGTTGCCGGGCCACGGATAGTCTTGCAATAATTTCATCCCTTCTTCGGAGATACCCCAAATCGGTTTACCGAGTTCCTCTTGAGCGAGTTTCAGGAAATGTGTGACAAGTAGCGGAATGTCCTCTCGACGTTCCCGTAACGGTGGAAGGTGGAGCGCGATACGTTTGAAACGGTAGTAGAGATCCTCACGGAACTGCCCTCGCTTCACCATGGCACTGAGTTCCTGATTCGTGGCAGCGATGACACGCACATCCACTTCAAGTCGCCGGGTGCCGCCTAACCGTTCAATTTCTTGTGTTTGCAAAGCGCGAAGCAGTTTCACCTGTAATGTCGGGGTCATATTGCCGACTTCATCGAGGAAAAGTGTACCCCCATTAGCCAATTCAAACCGTCCGGGTTTCCCTTCTGTTTTCGCTCCTGTGAACGCTCCCGCTTCGTAACCAAACAGCTCACTCTCTAAGAGTTCATCAGGAAGAGCTCCGCAATCAACAGGGATAAATGGTGCCTCCTTCCGGGGGCTACCTGTGTGGATCGCGCGTGCAACCAGATCCTTGCCGGTTCCTGTCTCGCCTTCAATCAGCACAGTCATCGTATTGCTCGCCATAATTCCGATGAGTTTGTAGATTTCGCGCATCTGGCTGCTCTTTCCAACCAATCGGTGTCCGATCTGTGCTGTTGGCGATTCGTCTGCTGTTTCCACAGGCAAAGTACTACGGACAGATTGTGTCCGGAAAGCACGTTCCAGGACACTCTTGACGATATCCAGATCGATCGGTTTTGGGACGAAATCGAACGCCTGCAAGCGCATTGCTTCTATGGTTGTTTCCACATCGTCATAAGCCGTGATGATAATTACAATTACCCACGGATGATGCTCCTTAATTTCGCCTAACGCCTCCAAACCACTCATCCCCGGTAATTTCACATCGAGTAAGACAACGTCCGGCTTGTCAGCTGCGATGCGGCGTAAACCTTCCTCGGCATTGTTTGCAGTGCTGGGGCGATAGCCCTCGCTTTCTAAGAATTGCTCGAATGCCCAACAGATTTTTTCGTCGTCGTCAATTACCAGTACATTTTTCATTTTTTTAATTATCGATCTCCCCGTCAAAACCCCATGCTTTAGCTTGGGGATGTAGACGGTGTATGGGTTTGTCATTAAAAATAAATTTGACATTCAGTCCAAATTGTAGTATGATATTACTAACACTTTGGCACACCGCTTTGACCCTCCACATACCTGTGGGAGGAGTGTCGCTTCGGTCAAAGGAAGTCAAAAGGTGTAAGTGTCATACCACTCTACAAGTATTTGGGCAGCTAACGCTTAAAGTTTCGGAGCAGAGGTGAAAGTCTGCACGTCTGTATTTGCTGCCTACCTTTTCATTTTTTCTATCCTTTTGGATAGAGGCAGGCGGGGATAGCCAAGATTTCGCCTTGATATGCCCGAAGCGATTTTTCACGCTACGGGGAATCGCCTGCTGGTGGAGACAGCATAAGACGGTGGACTCTTTGAGAAAACCGCTATTGTCTACGAAGCCGAAGCCCCAGTCTTTAGACTGTGGGTGCTATCACGTGCTTTTTCTCATCGCTCCACTACGTTTCGCGATGGTTTTCGGTTAATCCCAACGCATTTAAGGATAGGTACGCTCTTTAAGACTTTTTATCCGCTTATCATCCAGAGAGGGTTAGACTTAACCAAAAACCATCGTGGAATGAAATTATGCCTTAAATGGCATAATTTGTCTTTGCTTTACATTTGGAACGATACCCAGGAGTAATCATTTAAAAACCAGACTCAATCATTAAAAGTCCGCTTGCCGCCCTCTATTGATAACAAAAACTTTTCGCCATCTTCGCTCATCTCATTGGTGTTGGTTTCCTTCGTTTTTTTCTCTAATTTCCGCTTGAGAACCGGATAAGAATCCACGATCGGGATCTCGCCGAGGGATGTCAATGCCGGTTTTCGCCCTTCCGCTCTCTCAGTTGCTTCAGCGAATCGTTCATTTTTTTTAGCAACGTGTGCTGCGTCTCGCGCTTTGAAATCTGGGAGTACTCGCTCCGCAAACAGTTCCAGCGATTCAGCTATGTCCTCATGACGGTTCGCGCCAGCCTGCTGAATGAAGACAACTTGATCCACCCCAGCGTCTTCCATTATCTCTAAGTGTTCACGGACCTGATCTGGTGTGCCAATCCCTGCTCTACCTTCGACTGGATCCTGTGGTGTTTGCTTATATAACTGCCAAATATCCGTTTCTCCCGGGTATTTGCGAGCCATTGTGATAGTAATGTGCGAGCGCAAATCGGAAGAAGCGCAAACCATCTAAACCGCGGGCGATGGCAGTCTCTTCGTCGTCATGGCACGAAAAGCCTGACACCATAGCGATGTTCGGGTTCACCCGCTGCGTCAAGGGTTCACACTCTTTCTCGAAAATCTCATAATACTCTTCCACCCAGAATTTTGCTTCGTTTGCATCGACAAATGCAAAAGTTAACGCGCCAAGCCCATATCTGGCAGCGTATCGAAGGCTATCGCGGCTGGGGCAAGCCACCCACGGGGGTGGGTGTGGTGTCTGCAACGGTTTTGGGACGACATTGCGGGACGGCATCGAAAAATACTGTCCCTCATACCCTGCATAGGGCGATTGGCTCATCATTTTCGCCGTTTCGCGTGTGCATTCCGCCCACATCTCGCGCTTACATTTCGGATCGACGTTGAACCCACCGAGTTCTATATGCGAGGCGGATTCCCCCGTGCCCCACTCTACACGTCCATTTGAGACGAGGTCAAGCGTGGCGATGCGTTCGGCGACGCGCGCCGGATGATTGTAAGCCGGGGGCATCAGCACTATTCCGTGTCCTAATCGAATCTGTGTTGTCCGCTGGCTACATGCTGCGAGAAATACCTCTGGTGCCGAAGAGTGTGAATACTCCTCAAGGAAATGGTGTTCAACCTCCCAGATATAGTCGAATCCAAGTGTGTCAGCGAGTTCTACTTGTGCTAACGCATCTTGGAAAGAGTTTATGTTCTGCTCCGTCGTGCCATGGACGCGGAATCTGATGTTCATAAAACAGCCCAAATTTCATACTTTAATTATACCTTGCGGAGGAAGGACGGAGACCTGTCTTTGACGCGCCTTCCTCATATCCGCCTGCGCCGTTGTTGCAGGCTACGTTTTTTTGATTATACCTTGAGAATTCTTAATTATACCTTGCGGAGGAAGGACGGAGACCTGTCTTTGACGCGCCTTCCTCATATCCGCCTGCGCCGTTGTTGCAGACTACGTTTTTCATTATACCTTGAGGAACCTTTATTAGGCGAAAACCTCTTAACCGACTGCTGACAGCTGATGATTACGAGCGACGATCCTGAAGAAATCCGTCAAGTACCCCAAAATGGCTCTATCTGTCCCTACATTTCAGTATCAAGTTTATGCATCTCTTCGTCAGTCAATTGCCATGCGAAAACATCTAAATTCTCGCGTAAATGCGGCACCGAACCCGATTTCGGAATTGTGATGATATCTTGCTGGTATTAACCACCGGAGTGCTACCTGTGCCGCAGTCTTTCCGTGATTTTCCTCCGATGCCACGTAGGACTGCATCACCGGCAAGGTTTCCAACAGCAAGCGGACGGTGTGCCGTCATCACAATATCGCGCCCGTGGCAGTAGTCTCGCAATTCTGATCGGTTTCTGACGCACATGGTATTCCACCTGATTCGTGCAAATCGGGAGTTCGGAGACTTCACACGACTCCTCGACCTGAGCGATGCTAAAATTGCTGATGCCGATGCTTTTGACGCTACCGGCTTCATGAAGTTTGTGGAAAGCCTCAAAGGTCTCGGCAACCGGAACAGAATCGCTGGGATGGTGAATCAATAACAGGTCGACGTAATCCATCTGCAAATCGCTCAGACATTCCTCAAATTGGGTAAAAACATCGGCATATCTGAGATGAGGGTGCCAAATTTTGGTGGTCAGAAAGATTTCCTCGCGATCAATACGGATATCGCGGAGTGCTTTCCCGATTTCGCGCTGGTTTTGGTACATCCATGCCGTGTCGATATGTGTATAGCCCAATGCGACGGCTTCTTTGACGATGCGCTCACACTGACTCCCTTTTAGTTGCCAGGTTCCCAAACCCAATATCGGTATTTCATGTCCTGATGCAAGTGTAACATTTTTCATAATATCTCATGATAGACGATTTGGGAAAAAAAGTCAAGTAAGAAGGAGTTTACCAGAGGTATTCAGTTCTCCTTAAACCGCGCTTACTGAAAACCGCGTGCCTCTGAAGCGTCTACTAATTTCTCGATTAACCCCCAGGGGCATTTAGCTCCTACTCAGGTATGTCGGGAATCGGAGTTCCCTCCTACAGAAGAACTGAATGGCTCTGGATTAACCCCTTGACATCGTTATGGAAATATAGTAAATTCCATATCAACGTGATGCCGTGAGTGGTTTTTGGGAGAAAAAGTCAAAAAAAGTTGACAAACACATAGAGATGGTGTATACTATTAATAATACTCACGGTCGAGTGGTGGAATCGGTAGACACAACGGACTTAAAATCCGTCGCCAGTAAAATGGTGTGAGGGTTCAAGTCCCTCCTCGACCATGATTTAGGATAATGATTCTTGTCGCAGGGTAGAGCAGCCAGGTAGCTCGTCGGGCTCATAACCCGGAGGACGGGGGTTCAAATCCCTCCCCTGCAATTCTCTTGAACTTTTTTGTGTTTTTTTAAGTGAGGATACATGTACAAAGAGCACAATTAGATTCGGGAAATCTGGCAACCGGAACGTGTTCAAGCCATTTCTGCACCCGCGCAATGTCTCGCATCGCGCGTCCTCACATTCTGATTTTTCAATTTGATACCGTATTTACAAGAAAAGACAAAAATACTTGACTTTTCCTGTAATATGTATTATACTTAACGTATGAATTTTAGGGCAGAATTTACAAGCCCATTCAGACATGTGCCGGTGTAGCTCAGTGGTTTAGAGCACACGACTCATAATCGTGCTGTCCGGAGTTCGACTCTCCGCCCCGGCATTGCCTTTTTGGCGCAGCTTGCGACCCCAATTAATATTCAAACGGCAAAACTTGCTGTCAAAAATAGGCATATTTCATGAAAGCCGACTTTGTGCGTCAGATGCACCGCTTCATTTTGCGGCACGCGATGATCAAGAATGGCGAAACAGTGCTTGTTGCAGTCTCAGGTGGTGCGGATTCTCTCGCACTCCTATACGGTTTGCATGCCTTACGCTCGCAACTCAACTGCCAACTTCATGTCGCCCACCTTAATCACTGCCTCCGTCCGGACGCTGATGCGGATGCGGACTTTGTCCAGCAGCACGCAGCGCATTTGGAATTGTCTTGCACCATTCAACGTACTGATGTACCCCGTTTGGTAAAGCAATGGAAACTCTCTGTGGAGGCAGCGGCTCGAAGGGCACGGTATCAATTTTTCGAGGAGATCTGCGCGCAAATTGGGGCTACCAAGGTAGCCTTAGGACACCATCGGGACGATACCGCCGAGACGGTTTTGATGAACCTCTTTCGAGGAAGCGGATCCACTGGGCTGAAAGGGATTGCGCCTGTCAGAGATTTCAGATTTTCTGGCGCAGCTTGCAAGCCAAAACTTGCTGTCAAAAGTATTCGACCGCTCTCGGAATTTACGCGACAACAGATTGATACGTTTCTTGCGTCCACAGGGTTAGTGCCACGACAGGATTCAACCAACACGGATACCCGCTATTTCCGCAATCGTATCCGCCATGAGTTGATACCGAGGCTTGAAAGCGACTATAATCCGAATATCAAAGTCGGATTAAGTCGGACTGCTGATGTATTAGGTGCCGAATCGGAATACTTGGACACGGTTGCGCGAGAGGTGCTTGAAATCTGTCGGGTCCGAGATCCGGATAGGGTTAAGGCACTCGCAACGGTGGAGAGTGTCGTGTTGGACAGAGCGAAGTTCCAACAGTTTCACATCGCAGTGCAGAGACGGGTGCTACGGCTGGGTTTCTTTGAAATGTTAGAAGATATGGGCGATCTCTATTTTGAGCATTGTGACGCGATGCTAAGCCTTGTCGAGGGGAATACCCCCAACGCCGTATTAGCACTGCCGAACGGCTTGCGATTCCGACGTGTATATCAGTACCTCCTCTTTGAAGTGAACACAAGTTCCAGATCGCCGCTTCCGGTTCAGACTGAGAGTTTTACTTATCCGTTGGCTGTTCCCGGTAATACGTTTATCGCTGCCTTAAATACGGAAATTACCGCTGAATTGGGCGATATTCCGTCTGGCGAGACGCTTACGTTACCGGATGGAAGATATGAAGCAATTTTTGATTATGAAAAGGTAAGCGGAGCGTTCGCAGATCCCCCTTCAGAAGCATTTCCGCTTACAGTGCGCAATCGACGGCAAGGCGACCGGTTTCAGCCTTATGGTATGCGGGGAACGAAAAAGATTAAGGATTTTTTGATAGATGCCAAGGTGCCTCGCTACGAGCGCGATCGCATTCCGATGCTTGTTCGTGGCGATGAGATACTCTGGATCGTTGGTTATACCACCAGTGATCCGTTCAAGATTCATCCCAGCACGCAGCAATATCTTTACCTACGTTATGTCAGTGACAAAACCTTTTCCTGAATCCGTTCTTATCTCTGAATCTTGTCTTCAGAATCGCATTCGTGAACTCGGCACGCAAATATTCACTGACTATGAGAACCAAGAGTTGGTCCTACTGGGTGTCCTTAGGGGCAGCGTCCTCTTTTTCGCGGATCTTGCCCGTGCTATCTTTAAGGCGCAGCATGAAAGTCAAACGAGAGAAGTCACACTTCGTTTTGAGTTCGTGCAACTCGTGAGTTACCACGATAGTACGCAGCCTTCGACAGTACAGCTCATCCGTGGCGGTAGTGATTATCTCAAACAGCGACATGTCCTCATTGTGGAAGATATTGTTGATACCGGACGTACTTTAAATTTTCTCTGTGAACACCTTCAGACGTTGAACCCGAAAACCGTTAAAGTCTGTACACTACTTGATAAACCTTCTCAGCGCCAAGTGTCTGTTGCTGTTGATTATATCGGTTTTGAAATTCCAGATACCTTCGTCGTTGGATATGGACTTGACTACGCACAGCAGTATCGGAATTTACCCTACATTGCTGTTTTGGAGTCAATTTAAGTGCTTTCAGCCCAGAATCAGGGCTGTACACGCGCAAAATTCAGTACAAAACGTATTTTTTCGTTTTTTCTTGACAATAAATTACACATTTAGTAAGATACTTGAAGTTACTATCTTGAAAGGAGATTTATAATGCGTAAATTGGTTTCATTTGGCCTCTGTGGCGTTTTGATTGTAGGATTTATCCTTCTGACACAAGCCCAAATGTCGGACAAAGTGCAACTGGGTCGCGAACTTTTCCACGATCCAACTTTTAAGGGAACGATTAAACCAGGTAATAAACCAGGCAACGCAACTGGGCTTTCCTGCGCAAGCTGCCATGCAGATTTCGATGACACCGCAAATCCAGACGGTCTGATTCGAGCAGGGCACAGTATTGTGGGTGTCCCGCACCGTGGAGAAGCAAAAGGCGGGATGATCAAAGGCCCGGATTTCGCACGCGCAGCTGGCGGCGGTGGCTTCTGTTATGAGCATTTCTTACAGCGGATTTCAGGCGATAAAGTTAATCCCACTGCAATTCCAGCAGAGCATGCCGAAGCACTCATGGCTTATTTTGAAGCTATCTCTGGAGACAACAAAGGACCCGAATTTAAAATCGCAATGCTGGATGACGCTGGGAAAAAAGCAGCGGGTGAGAAAATCGGCACTATGAGTGGTGATTCAAGCAACGGATGGGGACTTTTCGGACGCGCCTGCGTTACCTGCCACCCGGGACCTTCTAAAGCTGGCATCGGTCCGCAACTCGTCCGATCCAGAGCACCTCGCGATATTGATGCAACAATGGTGCGTTGGGCTACCAAAATTCCGCGGCGGTGGGTCTCTTATGCCGTTCTATGCCCCTGACATCCTTAGTGACCAGGACATCGCTGATATTCTCGCATTCCTGCGTCAGGAAATAGAAAGCACAAAGTAATAAACAATCTGTGGCTGGAATACCCGTTCCAGCCACAGATTCTATTTTTGGATCTGTTTGATTTTTTGTAACCAACTCTCTTCGCTATTCGTTTTTTCAAACAAAATAGTAGTCGTATTAGTCCCAAAACGTATAAGTGTTTTGGCTGATCTAAATATGAAGAGAGGTTGGTGTCATGAGAGGATCTCGATTCCTTACAATATCTTTTTACATTCTCCTTGTAGGTTTCGTATTAAGTTTCGCGAGTTGTGGTGGGAGCAACCTAAACAACCCTGTATCAGAAGGGGATGCAACCGCTGAGGGTAGTGAAAGTACTGACGATGTCGTTGAACTTGCACAAAACCTAAACGCTGAGGAGACAACGGAGCAGATTGCCGATCTTGACGTGAAAGTCACCGTTACGAAGAAAACGGTGAAACCCGGTGAAGAGGTAGAGACTGGCTGCTTCCGTCAAGGGGGTTAGAGGTACCAGTGTCACATTGAACTGGCTGAATATTACAAAGCATGGGAAGCTTTCCGCCTCCAGTGAAAATCCAATTACTTGGACTGCTCCTCCGACATTAAATGGAGAGAACGTTCAAGTTGAAGTCATCCAACTTATTGTGACTGTGATTAGTGAGGTTGTTTCAGTCGGTGCCTCTGGAATTGATACTGATACCCAAATTTTTTCGGAAACGAAAACGGTTTTACTAACCGTTAGAGATTAGTTCGTAGAAGCAAAGCCTGTCCTAACGAGCGATAATGGTATTCGATTCGTTTGGCATGCCGACAGAGTTTGTCTTCGCTTCGCATTGTCTTAGGGTATCAAATGAAGAGAAAATTGATTCGCATTTGTATAGTTGTTATATCTGTTGTGACACTCTTTGGGGGGGAACTAAACGCTCGTGGGCACCAACATCTGGTCCAAAAAGGCGATACGTTGTGGGGGCTTTCTCGGAAATACAAAGTACCTCTCAAATCGATTATCCAAGCTAACAGTATTCAGCCGACGAAACGGTTACAGATCGGAGAAAAACTCTTAATTCCTGGAGCCCCCGTTGAGGGAATTTGGTATCGGGTTCAAGCCGGGGATACATTGTCTGGTATTGCGAGTCGCCATAACGTTGACTGGCAAGACCTTCAGCGAATTAATGGTATCTCTTCGCCTCGCGCCCTCCAGATTGGCACAAGAATTCGTATTCAACGAGATGACAGCCTCAGTTTTGGAAATCCGCTTCGGGTCCCTTTAGTTGTAACCTCAAAGTATGGTTATCGGCCTCACCCTGTGACTCGCCGCTATCAGCGCCATGAAGGTATAGATTTCCGCGCCTCCACGGGTACCCGCGTTTATGCTTCACGAGCAGGTCGGGTGATCTTTGCTGGACGGAGAGGTGGTTACGGTAAAATCGTAGGTATCGAACACGAGGGCGATTTTACGACGTGGTATGGACACTTGTCACGTATTAGAGTGAGAGTTGGGCAAACTGTCTCAAAGGGAAAGGTAATTGGGCTTTCCGGGAACACTGGTATTTCAACAGGACCCCATTTACATTTTGAAATTAAGTACAAAGGCAGGAGTGAAAATCCAACGAATCACATTATCATACCATAAACGGGGTTTGCTACTCGTAGCAATTGTTTTTCTTTTATTAGCGTATTTTCTCGGTCAAGAAAGCACATTATCAGACCCTCTTAACCTGAGACCCGAAGTCGGCACGCGTGGACTTGGGTTGAGCGGTGCATTTATTAGCAGCGCAGACGACGCAACAAGTCCCCTCTGGAATCCTGCCGGACTTGCCACGTTGCAGCGTGGAAACTTGATCTACGACCTATCTCAAGGCGCTGTCTCCATCGCTTATCCTATCAAATACATTGGCACATTTGGTGTAAATTTCCTTGATTTAAATCGCAGCGATCGATTTCTCGTAGAACATACCGCGAACCCGATTGGCAGTTTTGAACTCGGCAATAATCAAGCGCTTTTCTCTTATGCAAGGAGGTTCGGAACTTTTCAACTGGGTGCCAGCACAGGGTATAGTCGGGCACCTTATTACGGTAGCCTTTGGGCACAAAATTATGATGTTGGTGTGCTCACAGAGCTTAACTCTTACCTTGCTGTGGGGATGCGATTACGCGATATTGCTGGTGTGACCATTCGACACAGAGATGGTCAGGTGTTACAAACCTTCGATCAGCAGCTTGCCCTCGGCGCAGTCCTAACGCCTCACCCCATTATCCGATGGCATAACCGACTCGATATTATACATCCCTGTTTTAGTACAAGCGTAGAAATCGGAAATAGAACGATCGCTGCTCGCGTCGGATCAATGTTTACCTTTGGCACCGGAACCCCTTCCCAATCTTGGAGTATAGGGTTTTCACTTAACCAATTAGGAAAGCAGTTCCATTATACATATTTGAACCAAGATGATTTCAAGCATAGACATCTCGCTTCAATAGGCATGTCTTTTGGCGGAACACAACTTATTTCACGGAAACCTCAAGCCAGCGACACTATCACGACGCATTAACAGAAACGAAATCAGGAACTCAGAAGCGACAACAAAACCCAAAAATTCAGAATACAAGGCTGCCCAAATCGCGCGGGAATACGACATTGATGTAGCAGTCATGCTTGCTATTATTCATACTGAATCCAACTTTAACCCACTCGCCGTGTCGAAAAACGGAGCAGCAGGCTTAATGCAGATGATGCCTGATGCCGCACGAGACCTTGGGCTCAAGGTGCCGCCGTACAAAAATAGAAGGAAACCGAAACTTGATCCGAACATAGATCAACGATTTGACCCGAACAAAAACTTGCGCGCTGGTTTAACTTATTTCAAGATGCTTTATGAAAAACATTTGAACAATTTGACTTTGGCACTCGGAGCGTACAACGTCGGTCCCGGTAAGGTGAGAATACGCGGTCCCCTTATTAGCAGAGGTAAAAAATATGCGAAGAAGGTGATTAACCGTTCCCAATATTACCGTGATAATGCGGCACAAATGGAGATTGATCTTAAGCGGTTGGAAAGAATCCTTAATAATTGAAGAAGGCACACAAAGCGCCTCAGCTGCAGGGAGATAACATGGATAAAATTAGATTGGCAATCGTTGGATGTGGCGGTATGGGACACCGACACATGTACGGGTTAGCAGAACTTCATCGGGCAGGATGGACACGGTTTAACCTTGTCGGTGCTTGTGACCCTGTCCTCGCTAATGCTGAGTCACTCGCTGCACAAGCAGAAGAACGTTTTGGTCAGAAACCTGCTGTTGTTGGGAGTCTGGAAGAACTTGCTGAAGTCGGCGTGGATGCTGTAGATGTGACGACTACGCCACCGTATCATCACACCGTCGCCGTTGAAACCCTTGAACGCGGCTGGCACACGATGGTCGAAAAGCCGATGGGATAACCGTTCGAGCGTGTAACCTCATTCGTCGTGCCGCCGATGCGTCCGATGCAATCCTCAGCGTCGCAGAAACTATCGACGCGATCCGATCAATCGACTTGCGAAGGCACTCCTGAATGCGGAGGTCATCGGCACACCGCGTTTTCTTATCCACCATGCAATCGGTGGCACAAACCGTATGACTATCTCCGTCTGGCGACACCAGAAAGATCAAAGTGGTGTCCTGCTTGATGTCGGCGTTCACTATGCTGACATGATGGAGTATCTACTCGGTGAAATTGACACTGTCTATGCGCAAACACGTCTTCATGAACCTATCCGACATAATCCTGCCGCAGTGACCGGTGAATCTGGCTCTAATCCCGGTGGTGTCTATACAAAATGGCAGCGCAAAATGCCTGCTGAGTTTGAGGCAACCGCGGAGGATGCCGCTTATGCAACGCTTACTTTCAAGAACGGTGTCGTCGGGCAATATATTGAGGAGCATGCCGCATGGGGACAAGGCAGCTGGCTCCGCCAAATTCACGGATCCCGAGGCTCTATGACACTCCCCGGCGATCGGAGCGGCAGACTTATCACCCTCAATATTGACGGACAGGAAACGATTAACGATGAGCGACTCTTGGATCTCGTTCCAGACTTTCACTTAGATGCTGTCACAGCAGACCTTTTCGGCGGCGACCGATTGTGGAACTACACGTTTACGCAAGGTGACGCGAAGAATATTGCCATTGAATACGGTGAATTTGCTGAAGCCATTGCTGGCAATAGGACAGTTGAAGTCGATGCCTACCAAGGCACACGCTCCGTCGCTGTTTCTTACGCAATTCTTGAGTCCGGTGCAACGGGGCAGATCGTTCAAATGAACCAGATGCTGGATGAGTCAATTAATACATACCAGCGCGAAATTGACGAAGGGTTAGGCATCTAACCGTCTCACAGTTGTGCGTTGGAGGACAATCGACACAATGACAAGCAAGCAGGAATTCGGCATCGGTTTGATTGGGTTGGGTATCGGACAGCAGCACCTACTCGGTTATCAACGCCAAGGCTTACGCATTGCCGCAATCTGTGACAAAGATACAGAACGCCTTAACGAAGTTGGAGAACGGTTTCAAATCGATAAGCGATATACTCGTATCACTGACCTAATTGCCGATGCTGATGTTGATGTGGTTGACATGGCAGTGCAGCCGTGGATCCGTTCCCCTATTGTCAAAGCCGCTGCCGAGGCTGGCAAGCATATTCTCTGCCAAAAACCGTTCTCAATGTCGATGCAACAAGCCGTTGAAATGGTGGAGATCTGTGAGCAACACAACGTCCAGCTCATGATAAACCAGAACTCCTACTTTGTGCCCGGTTTCCTCGCTATCGAACCTTACATCAATGCTGAGCACCTTGGCGAAATCTACCATGTCTCAATAACCTGCAACGGGTTCTACACCGAGTTCCCCGAACGCCATCTGATTCCAGCGATGCAAGTGCATCACATTGGACTTGTCTATAAGTGGTTCGGCGAATATGAGAGCGTTTACTGCCAAGCGCACGGACATAACAGGTCTATTGAGGACGGAGAAACCGTTTCCGTCGCGCTTTTCAAGAGCCGAAACGGCATACAGGGCTTGCTCTCGTGCAACTGGGCGTTCCTCGCCAATCCTGGGCGCAATTTACAACACCCACACGAGGAAATCCGCATTCAAGGCACCAAAGGGGCGATTTACGGTAATAGTGGTGACATGACTGTTCACCTCACAGAGCCGGAGACCCGCGAAATTAAACCGTCGATAGAGGGGACGTGGTTTCCAGATGCCTTTGGCAACGTCATCGCTCACTTTTTTGAATGCCTACGTACTGGAAAGAAACCTATCACTCATGGACGCGGCAATCTGCACGTCGTCCAGACGGTTTTCGCCATGCACCAGTCCGCGAGTTCAGGGGAAGTCGTCCTGCTTGACGATATTTCGCTGGATGGTGACTACGATCTGAGTCCCCACCCTGTCCACAGCGCAGATGACACGGCTATCTTGCAGTAACATCACCGCAGGCGCACCGCGCTGTTTGGTAAAATTTGAAATTTACCCACTTTCGCCAGTTCGTCCAAAAGGTTACCCTATCTACCAATCCCCTCTCCGATCAGGCCAGAGATGCGCTTTGACTGCCTCTTCATTGAGTTCAGTTCCCCATCCCGGACGCGTCGGAATTTTCATGTAGCCATCCACGATGTCTGGAACGTGCGTTGTCAAGTCGTCTTTCCACGGGACATCATCAATGTCTATCTCCATGATTCGCACATTGGGCAGCACGGCACAGAGACTTGCGCTCATGTGGGTAGCAAGGTGGCTGTAGTAGTTGTGCGGCGCGACGTTGAGTTGGAACACATTTGCCAAGTCACCAATCTTCTTTGATGGCGAGAATCCGTTCCACGGCACATCTATCATGAACACATCCGCGGCGCGATATTCAAAATAAGGGAGGTATTCGCGCATGTAATAGAGGTTTTCGCCGGTACATATCTTCGTCGTCGTAGAATCCTTGATTTGCCGGAGAGCCTCATGGTCGTACATATCAATCTCCAACCACAGCATGTCGAATTGCTCAAGTACTTTGGCGATACGCATGCACGCTTCCGGTTTGAAGTTGAAGTTCAAATCGAGATTGATACCGACATCGGGACCAACTGCCTCTCTGAAAGTGCCGATTAAGGTTTCAATGTGCCGTAGAACTTGAGACGTTACATTCCCGTCGGTCGTGCCAGGTCCACCGCCGAAGCCTCCGAAATGGACAGATGCGGAGTCACCGGGGAAAATGACGTTGGTTTTGAGCGCAGTGAAGCCTCTTTCGACGACTTCACGACCTAATGCGGCGATGTCATCCATGCTTTTTAAGGGTGGCACACCAATAAGTTCATAGTTGCGTGCCCGGGAAGAACCACAGTGCGACCAGTAGACGCGTACGTCATCACGTGTCGGTCCACCGAACAACTCAACAACCGAGATTCCCAACGCTTTCGCCTTAATATCTACCAGCGCACATTCGATGCCTGCGATCGCTTTCGCGGCGATACCCCCAGGACTTTGCCGAGAGCCGCGAATCATGTCCCAAAACCGCATCTCATAAGGGCGTGGATCTCGTCCAATCAGCAGTGGGGTAAAGTCCTTGATAGTTCCTACCACGCCGTTAGGATTCCTGCCGTCGCTACACTCGCCGTAGCCAGTGACACCTTCGTCGGTTTCGACCTTCACAAAAGTCCACGGACGCCAGCCAGCGTCCACAATAAAAGTTTCAATATTTGTAATTTTCATAGCAAGCCTCAATTTATGTTCTGGTCTTACAGTTTGACCACTTCTTTACGTCGATCTGATTCAAGGAGCGCATCGCAGACACGCATTGTGTTTACTGCCACTTCAGACCACTTTTCCTCAAGGTTCCCAGATTGCACGATATGAGAGAACCGCTCAATCATTGTGACCTCTTGGATGCCGCCTTCGATAGTGTTCTGCTCGTTTCCGTCCGACCCATGAACCCAAAACCGAGCGGAGTCCTCAGATGTAGGGACGGTGAAATCATCACAAACGATTGAGGCACGCGTGCCAGCAACCTCAAACCATTTTCGAAGTCCTGTATCAAACCCGCAATCTAAGGTAGCGATGCGTTCATCGCTGAACCAGAGGATACCCGTAAGGTTAAAATCCACTCCGACTTTGTAACGTGCCGTCGCGAAAACCTGTGTTGGCATCTCCTCAAATGCCCAGAGAATCGCGCGGATACAGTAGTAGCCTAAATCTCCGAGACTTCCACCTGCGAACTCCTTCATTGCGCGGATATTCCCAACAGGAATTGTGTCCCAATTGAAAGTAAACGCCGCTGTCACGCGTCGGAGCTGTCCGAGGGTGTCGTCCATCAACTTCTGCTTCATCGCCGCGGTGCGTTCATGGTGAACCCACATGACACCGTCCATGAGTTGCACACCATTTTGGCGGCAGGCATCTGCCATTGCGATAGCCTCGTCAGCGTTTGCAGCGAGTGGTTTCTCACAGAGGACGTGTTTGCCGTGTTCGGCTGCTTTGATTGTCCATTCGGCGTGAAGTGTGGGCGGTAAGGGAATGTAGATGGCATCGAGTGCGTCATCAGCGAGGAGTGCGTCGTAGGTGCCGTAAGTCGTAGAGACATTATGCTCTTGTCCCCACACAACGGCACGTTCTTCGGTCCGACTCGCGACCGCTATTAAGTCAGCATTCCGAGCGAGATGGATCGCACGGGCGACCTTTGTTGCGATATTTGCTGTGCTGAGAATCCCCCAGCGGACCGGTGATTTTGCTTCAGTTGTCATATTGTTCCGTCTGATATGAAGTTGTCTGTTCTGACCCTTGAGATTCTCTATAGACATATCACCCCTACGGGGTGGGGAAAGTGCCTAAAAACCTTGTTGAAATGTCCAAAATTTATTAGTAGCAGCTTGGGGTATAATATACCCGATAACAGAAAATTGGTCAAGTGCATGGCAATTGGGGTCATTTAGTTTTAAGAAGTTATCGGATTTCGCGCCTTTTTTGACGAATCCGGAGCGGTTAGGAATGCAGATCGCATTTGGGCGAGTACGCCGCAAAACCGCTCCTACCGGGTACGGGGTGAAAACTGGACCGAAAAATGGAAAACTGAATATTCCTACATGGCAATTGGGAATCACGGCGATTTTGTCTTGAATTTCAGCGCGAAAATGATATAATAAGGACATTAAAATAATAAGCACTTCGCGTGCTGGCAATAGGCTAAAGCATACTTCGTATACCATCAAAGGAGTTTTATGAATACTAAAAAATTCGCATTATTCGCATTTCTATTCGCGATTGTTGTACTAATTGTCGGATTTTCCGCGTGTGATCGAGTTTCCCGGATTGTCCAACCTGCCACACCTCAGATGACGGAAGCCAGTGAAGATATTTCCATCGGTGTCGTCTTACCTTTGACAGGTCGGCTCACTGACACGTTTGGCATCCCAATATCGCAAGGCTTTGAATTGGCACTCAGTGAGATTAACGCTACACACCTCAAATTCATCATTGAAGACGATCAGAGCACTATAGACGGAGCAGTCGAAGCCTTCAATAAAGCTGATTCACCAAGACAAGGTGTCTGTTATCCTCGGACCTGCCACCTCAAGTCAGACAGGGGAGGCTTTTCAAGTCGCGCAAGAAAACGAGGTCGTAGCACTGGGTCCAACTTCCGCCGCTCGCGGTCTCAGCGCGATTGGTGATTTCGTCTTTCGTATTTCACTTACCACAGACGTACTTATCCCGATTGGCATCGAAGTGACACATGCGAAACTCGGCTATCAGCGCGTCGCTACGATATACGATGAAACCGATCTCTTCTCCACAGATGGAAATGAGGCGGTACGGGAAGCACTCGCCGCCAACGGTGTCGAGGTGCTGACGACTGAAATCTTCCAAGGTGGCGATGATGTTTCCGCACAACTAACCCGGATACAGGCGTTAAATCCTGATGCTGTCTTTGTCTCCGCTTTACCAACAGACAGACCGAATATATTGACGCAAAGACACCAACTCGGTCTATCTGTTCCCGTTTTTTGTACGCACTTTGACAGGTGTTGATATAAAAGCCCTGGGTGCCCCCGCTGAGGGAGCGATTAGTTTTGTCGGGTGGTCCAGTATGGGGGATGCACCGGGAAATCAGGCTTTTGTGCAAAATTATAGTGCTGAATATGGTACGGAGCCGAACAACTACGCCGCATCGGCTTATGCTACCGTCTATATTCTGGCAGAAGCACTCGCGAATGCTCAATCAGCCGATTCTACCGCAATTCGAGACGCACTGGCAAATATCAAAGATTTCGACACAATTTTCGGTAAGTTTTCGTTTGATGCCAATGGAGACGCTGTTTATGAACCGAAGGTCCTGATTGTCAATAACGGTGAGTTTGAACTCTTTGAGTAATCCGCTGTTGAGTGACACCCGCAGATCGTAGGTATCTTGCATACTATTTTTTAATTAACAAAAATCGTGCAAAATCCATTAGACCAATTTTATACGAAATCAGAGGTCGCGAGAGCATGTTGGGAGCATTTCACGGACACGCTTTCAACCCTAAACCGAAGTCTCAGCGACCTCTTTTTCATAGAGCCTGCTGCTGGCACTGGTGCGTTTTACAAACTCTTACCGCCGGAAAAGCGGTTAGGCATAGATCTCGTGCCAAAATGTAGCGATGTGAAGTCCCAAGACTTTTTTAAAATCACCGATTCCCCGTTCACACCCAGTGATACCGCCATTATCGGTAATCCACCCTTTGGCAAGCGCGGAAAATTAGCGATAGATTTCTTTAACCATGCCGCTTATTTGGCAGATATTGTCGCGTTTATTGTGCCTGTCAATTTCCGAAAATTTGGCACTCACAAGCAACTCGATACCAGTATGCGGTTTATCAGTAAATTGCCTCTTCCAAGAGATGCGTTCCATCTCGAAACTGGCAAATCCTATTCAGTAAATACGGAGTTTCAGATATGGACCCGTTTGGTAAGTACACACCCAGACATGCGACAATATGAACCTTTACCGATTCGACATCGTGATTTTCAGATGTGGCAGTATAACAACACGTCTGACGCTTTGAAAGTCTTTCAAAACCCCTTCGATTTTGCTGTGCCGTGCCAGGGATGGCAGGATTATTCTCGTAGAGAGACAGATGAAAAGCGGTGTGAGCGGAATAAACAGTGGATACTTTTAAAAGCGAACGACTTTAACGTCTTATCACGGTTGATACATATTGATTATGAGCATCTGGCGCAGGAGTGTGCTACGGCTGTTCCGGGTTTTCGGAAGGGTGACCTTGTGAAGGCGTACGCAGATAACTATGAGAAATAGGATTTACTTCGGGGATAACCCCCAAATTCTACGCGAGTTCCCAAATCAATCCGTAGATCTCGTCTATATAGACCCGTCTTCTTTCGGGGAATTCATCTTTTTTCAAATAGACGCTAAAACGACGACTTTATCTGCCCCCAAGTTATCGTCAATTTATCTTCTGGTTCGATAGCACTCGCATTTAAGTTTGGAATATCGGGACCTGTGATGCGGACGTTATCGTAATCCACAATTCTGTCCTGATTCCCCAGTGCTACCGTTCCGCTTTTGTACTGATTATCCTTTGCTTCAATCATCATCTTCCCGTCATAGAAGACCTTGATGGTGGTACCTGAAAAGCTCAATTTGACCGTGTGCCATTTATCCACCTCTGGTTTATATGGAGCTTCACCGTGGTTTTGCAGACCGGTATTAATGTCCCAGCCCGGATTGCTAAACAGATTCATTTTTGCCGATCCCGGATATAGCCAGACCACATAATGTGAGCCTGTCTCAAGGTCAACGCGCCCACGGACGCCACCTGGGAAGTTGGCGACATCTTTGTGCCGCAAATCGACCTCTACGTCATAGTCTGTCCATTTGTTTGGGGCACCAATGTCTAATCCTTCGCCAGTAAAATTGAACTGGGAGATTGCCTCGCTCCACACGAGACCCTTTGGATCAAAAGTGACGAAAGTGTTCCCTTTCTCTAGACCCCAGAAGGACTTGCTCTCTTCATTCTGTGGGGAGCGTTCCCAGCCTTCTGTATCGCCATCATCAAAGTCATCAAGGATTTCCCCACCGAAGCTAAGCGGAACCGATATAAAAATCAAGATGGAAACAGAAATAGCAATTCGCGTAAAAAGCTGAATCGATGAAAATTTTCTTGCACCTAACATCTTTATCTCCTTCGTTGCTTTAATCTCAGACGGTTTTGTCTAAACAGTGGCATTGCAGTCGTGCAAAAATCGTCCCAACTGGGCACCTCTGCGATTTATTGATACAAGTATACCAAATGTGTTGAAATAAGTTCAGGTAAAATTTTTCTTCTTTTTAATGAATCGTAGCATCCATCAATTCTTGCGGGGCTACCGAGAACCCTTTGTAAACTGCGTTAATCGTTCAGTCCGTCCGTTGCTCGACTCAATTGTCATCTGCCTGAAAGTATCTTCTATTGTTAGGTATTGTGACTGAGTTCAAACCAACAGCCTACCCTAAACCGCTCTGGGTCGATAGGGTACGAACCAATCCACCCTTGCATCGTCGGCAATTTCCAAGGTTGCCATTTCACCCACCAAAGGTGCCAATGTTACACCGCTGTGCATTAAGGCGATATACAGATTTTGCACCGATTCGGTAAACCCAAGTACCGGAAACCCATCAAGTGGCATTGGACGATACCCAACCGGTGTTGGAATCGCTTCAGCGTCTGCTATCGCTGGCAAATAAGCTTTGGCACGAGCAAGAAGCGCATCGGCGTGCTGTTGCGAATCATCACGATTTATCCCTTCTTGGGTGCCCTGTCCGATTCTGAGGCTCCCGTCAACCAGTTGGCGGAGGTGGAGGTATTGATGCTTTTCATCTGTCGGCGGTGCGTGAATGATCGCGACGTTGTGTAAAACCTTATCGCACGGCGTTGTCTTAATAACGATACCCGGACTCCGTTGTTGCGGAATATGTGTCTGCGCTAAGGACGCGAGTTCAGTCGTCTGAACACCGCTTGCTAAGACGACAACATCGCACGGAAATTCGGCATCGGCGGTTTTGACAGCGGCGATACTACCGTTACGAGTGACAAATCCAGTAACGCCGGTTTGTGAGTGCACAACCGCACCCATTTCGCAGGCGTACCGGAGGCAAGCATCAATAAATCTATCGGTTTCAATGTGAATATCCGCTTCTGAGAAGGACGCTGCTGCCACGGTGCCAGGATGTAGGTGTGGCTCAAGTGCCAACATCTCGTCACGAGTGATCAGTCGACACGGGTAACCCCACGTCTGAATTTGTCGGATACGTTGGCGCAGTTGCGTCGCACGTTCTGGATTATTCTCCCACCGCATTTCACCGCCATAGTGAATACCGATATCCGCATCAAGTTGATGGGCAAGCCGGTACCACATATCCAACGAACGCCGATTGAGGGTATGGTAGTCACGCGGATCTTTCCCAAAGGCGTTTGCCCACGCAAAAGAGTGTCCTGATGCCCCGGCACCCGGAATGTCGCGTTCCAGAACCGTTACAGCGATACCATTTCGTCGGGACAGATGATACGCGATCGCGGCACCGATGACACCCGCGCCTACTATCACAATTTTTAAATGATTGCTTCTGGTCATCGTTCCACTTCGTTTCACGATGGTTTTGGGTGAATTCCAATTTTAAATGATTGCTTCTACAGAAATATCGCCCCTACGGGGCTCTTTTTCCTACCACGTTCGCGGCTAGTAGCCAGACGGACTGAACCCCATAAGGGTGAAATCTCTGTAGGGAACAGTACCCAGAGGCCCATAGTTAAAAAATTTATCGGTGTGCTGCGACAATAAACCCTGTTAATCCCGCAAGCAACAGTTGGAAACCGGTTTGATAGAATAGCATCAGAAAAGGTTGACAGAGCGCAATCAAACCCAGCGCGATTAAGCCGACAGAGATTTGTTCACACAGGGTTTTCTGTGAAAAAACGATCGAGAAAACGATTACTCCGGGTAGAAGTAGGTGTAGGGCGGTGCTATTAAGTGATGGAAAGAAAGGCTGGTAAAGAAAAACGATGCCGATGCAGCCAAAGGCTGCTGAACCGATAGTCGCGGCGCGCTTCGCCTCGATTGTCATGCCAAACGCAATCGCACAGGCGAAAAGGACATGGAAAGCTGAACTACGCAAGATTGAAGGAACAGGCAGATAGAGAAATCCGAGGCTGATCGCTAAGCCTATGCTGGAAATGATGGCGATTCGCCGTTTATTCTCGAAAGCAGTACCCGCGAGGATCGCGGCGATACTCAGCAGCACAAAGGCGATACCTTTGAGCAAAACGGCATTTTGGGCGATAAGAGATGGGACTAATGAAATACCCTCTACATAGAGGAAGATCACGCCGAGAACGAAGAACCCAATCGCAAGCAGTTGATTCCGTTTTTCTTTTGCCATAGCGATTTTTCGATACCTGTGGGGATGGCACCTTCAGCCGCGTTTGTTCAGACCCATCAATCTCCGCGTTTTAGTAAACGGGCTACCCAAGTTTTGGATTGTTCCGCAATTAGTTGACTTTTCAGTTCCTCAACTTCAGCGGACAAATTCCCTCTTTCGGTTTGGAAAACCCCAATTCTTTCCCGGAGCTGCGCATTTTCGGCGATAAGTGCTTTATTCTCTGCTTCCAATTTTTCACAAGTTTCCCTTAGATGCGTAATATGAAAGACCTGACAGCTGAGGTTCTCAATAATATCATCCGTCGGGATATTATAGGTGAGTTTTTTTATGAGCAGTGCGAGACCATCAATCCTTAACTCAATCTGTGGCTTTGGACGATCTCCGGGATCTTCCAGTACGGCAGAGACGACACGCAGATATGGTTGAATGTCCACATCTCTCCGTTCTAATGTTCGGCTAATTATTTCTTCTTCCACACCTATTATCTCGGTGATTTTGGAAGGATTCAGATAGAGGTCCATTCCGAAACTTCCCTAACATGTTTCTGCTACTAACTGAAGGTTGATACTATTGCTTCCTGTAAAATGAGTTTAAGGAAAGCATAACATATATCAAAACATTTGACAAATTAAAATTTCGGTGTATCTCTGGGTGTGGCTTTGGAGCACTATACAAGTGCTTCCAACACAAGGGAATTTGATACGGGATAAGAAACACAGACGCTATGAAATCCCGTCCCAATATTTCCACATGTCATCAGGCGTTTCAAACTTAATCTGGTCGAGATCTTTTCGGCGGTACCTACTAATGCATGCAATTCGGACGTTGCGACCACAGTTCGGACCAGCGGTATGACTCATCTGATGATGCCAGAAGCAGACATCGCCTGCCCCACCTGTGAACTCATAACTCGGTCCCAAGTCAAACGGGGCGCCACCCCCTGGAAGGCTATCCAAGTCATGGTGTCTGAAGTATTCTGCCCAAATCCGATGACTTCCTGGCCAGACAGTAAATCCGCCACCCCGTTTTTCGACTGTGTCGAGATAAACCGTGGCACCCAGCGTGAACGCACCGACGACCCCTTTCGGCACACCGTTCGTAGGCGTGTGGTAACCATCGAGATGTCCCCCCGGTTCACGCCATTTCCTGTCTGGATCCGGAAAATTGATATGCGGTCCCGCGCCGCCGCTCGTATTCAATTTGTCCTTGCCGACAAGTTCCTCTGCCATAGCAAAGACTCGGTTGTTGTATGTTGTACCGCTGATAACTTCTTCGTTGCCAACAGGCACTGAGCGGTAACCTTTGCGTATCCATGATTCCGGGTCGTTCCTGTCTTCGTCAAGTGCTTCCCAGAGTCTATCAAGCGCGGCATCAATCGCTTCCTGCTCCAGCGCACCGCGCATAACCAGATAACCGTTTTCTTTAAAGAATTCTGTGTCTTCCGCAGTTAAATGTCCCATAGTTTTCATCCTCATTTTGGTACACAAGCCAAGTGTGCCTGCAAAGTCCCCTTACACGTAGAAGTATTGCTACGCGCGAACCTCGAAACCGTTCTCTTCCCTCGCTTTTTGGTAGGGTGCCTCATCCAGATTCAGCCCAAAACCGGGACTTTGTGGAACGTTCACATAGCCGTTTGATATAGAATACCCGGAGTCGTCTAAACCTGGTGTCGTTGCATGATCCCATTCGACGAATTCAAACCGTTCCACCTTTGCGGCAAGGTGACAGGTTACGTAATTTCCGTAGTGTCCCCCGTAATGATGTGGTGCTGTGCCGATGTTCGCTGCATCTAACTCAGGACCGAGTTCAAGCCAGCGTGAGAAGCCAGGGATAGAAAATATCGTACTGGACGATGTCAATGAGTCCATCTTTTGCCCAGTCCACCAAATTCGGTGAAGCACCGCCTTCGCCGTCGGCAATGCGGGTTTCTAAACCTTCGACATTTAGCCATTCTTTCAGCAGGCTATAGACACGGGCATCTTCGTGGAACGCCTCTTCCATCCAATAGACGTTCGCGTCTGCTGTTCCGCCCAATACCTGTTTAGTGAGATTGAGATTATAGCCGTTGTTTGCATCTATCAAAATCGATGCGTCAGGTCCCACTGCCTCTCGGACAGCATGGATAACGTCAATATCTCGTTGGGTCCCTTTATCGAGTGGCATGTGCATCGCACCGCGCCCTACTTTGATTTTGTAAGCATTATGTCCGCGTGCCTTTCCTTCTAATGCCTCAGACGCAATGAGTGCCGCCGCTTCAGCATTGTCTTCAAGGTGCAAATCATCGATATAAAGCGAGGTATCGTAACACGGGGCGCGAAACGCTCCGTTTTCTCCCGAAAGCATCGCGTAAACCGGTTTTTCCGCCAACTTTCCTACGAGATCCCAGAGCGGGTACTCTAACATTCTGAATTCTTCGGTGACACCAGTCTCGGCATCGAAGGCATCACTGAGTTGAGACCCAACAATCGCTTGCGCTTTTTCACGAGAAATGGGTGAAAATCCAAAGCCGCTCGCGCCGTCTGTTGTTGTTATGCGGGCAATAGCAGGACGGACGTGCAACCCGTGCTCACCGAGTCGCGAATTGCAACCGGCTTTGCGGGGACGTTCGCCTGTCAAGCGTGCCCATTCAATCCGTTCGATTCTTACGTTTTCCACCCTTACCAACCTCCGTGGATGTAGATTCAGCAGTACCATTTAATTTAAAAAGAGAGGCGCGATCCTGTTGACTAATAAGTCCAATATAGGAAACTGCGCCTTAAAAATTGAAGGTCCTACTGGAATAAGATGCTATAATTGCGTTTCAAGGAGTGCCAGGCTCGCCAGATCCAAATGGTGGTAGTTCTCAATCTCGTAACGATTGCCATCAGCATCTTTAATCAGCACCCGTCCATTGTCAAGGCTGACGACATCATATCGAGTGCGCATGCCAAATGTTACAGGACCGCGGTTCGTTTCCACGACCCAGCGGGTCACACCGAACTCACCATCCAGTTCGTGGATTTTGGTTATCTTCGGCATAAAATACCGTTTCTGCAACTCCGACACAAGGATTTCCGCTGACTCGCGAGGCAACTGTTTGATGTCCTGAATGATACCGATTTCTTCTCCTTCGCTATCCAGCAGCGTTATATATTTGTTAGAATCGGTGAGCGGAAAGGATCGGACTGCTTCAACGTTTGCGTGACTTGCGCCGTCTGGTAGTTCAACCGTGAGTTCTTCAAACGAATTTCGCGCAATTTTGACGTTGGGGGCATCAAGGAATTGCACCTCATCGGTAATCGAGGTAGCTTCCTGCATAACGTGGTTTCTCCTTCTTCTACAGCAGGGAGGATGTAGTGCGCACTTAGAAAATGCGCACTACAGGAGTATATTGTTGCCTATAAGGCGCGAATCTTCGACAATTCTATCTGCTTTTCACACAAACCTGCATAGATGCCATCTTTGGCAAGAAGCTCCGCATGCGTACCGATTTCATCCACTTTTCCGTCTTTCAGCACAACCAAACGGTCAGCATACTTGAGAGTAGAGAGTCGGTGTGCGATAGCAAATACAGTCCGACCGCGGACAAGCCGTTCCAACGCTTCCTGAATATTCGATTCAGTCTCTGTGTCTACAGACGATGTCGCTTCATCTAAGATGAGAATTTTCGGGTTTTTCAGAATCGCGCGGGCGATAGAAATTCGCTGTCGTTCACCGCCGGATACGCGAGCACCACGTTCCCCTACCATCGTGTCGTAACCATCAGAGAATTTGACGATGAACTCATGCGCATTTGCAGCTTTCGCTGCGGCGATGATTTCATGCTGAGAAGCACCGGGTTTCGAATAACCAATATTCTCAGCTATCGTCCCTTGGAATAAGAACGGGTCCTGAAGCACCACACCTACCTGTTGCCGCAATGCTTTCAACTTAATATCGCGGGTGTCGTGTCCATCAACCTCTATTGAACCTTCACTCGGATCGTAGAAACGGGTAATTAGGTTAATGACCGTGCTTTTCCCAGCACCGCTATGTCCGACTAGCCCAATCATCTCACCCGCCTCTGCCCGGAAACTGATACCGTTGATAGCATTCTTTTCTGTGTCGTAAGAGAAATAGACATCCTTGAATTCGACAGTGCCTTTAATGTCTTCAAGCGCGATCGCATCTTCTTTCTCAGCGACACTTGGGGGTGTGTCTATGATTTCAAACACACGGTCAGCAGAAGTCGCAGCTCGGATGAACCGTTCATTCATCTGACAAAGCGTGTAGACGGGTCTGAAGAACCGTCCCATCAACGCCTGGAACATAAAGAGCTCGCCGAGCGTTAGTAGCCCCTCAAAGACTTGTGAACCACCAACCAACCATATCAGAATGGAACCGGAGAAAATAATAAATTCCATGATCGGGCGGTACAGTGTCGACAACTTCGCTGCATTCATTTCGCCATCAAACACTTGATATGTCTTTTCGTTAAATCGATTTACCTCATAGCGTTCGCGCGCGAAGGCTTTGACGACCCGTACCCCTGGGATAGTGCTTGCCAGTATAGTGCTAATATCGGCATGCCGTTTCCATAGCACAGAAAATACTTTGCCCATCTTTTTTCCAAAGAAGATGGTGAAGAAAATAAGACAAGGCACCGGAATTAGTGTCCAAACCGCCAACTTCCAATTTGTGAAGAACATAATGGCGCAGATGTAAAAAAGCGTCAATGAATCACCGAGTAAATCTTGCAACGCGCTCGCAATGAACTCCCGAAGTCTTGCCACGTCGTTTGTGATTCTCGACATGAGGTTACCGGTGTCACGCTGATTGTAAAAGTCTAACGAGAGCGAGTGGAGATGTTCGTATGTTTCATTTCGGAGTCGGCGTGTGATATTTTGGCCCACCCAAGCCATCATATATCCCCGCACAGCGGAAGCCCCCATGGTAAAGACATTGAAGCTTACCATTAAGAGGACAATGGTGACGAGATGCCCCCAACTTCCAGCGACGGGAAGTGCCAGCCAGCCTGAGATGCCTTCGACGATTCCAGTGAGATGTCCCCACGTCGGTGAAGGGATCGGTTCACCAGTTGCGGTCATCGTGGCACCAGTTACAGCTGTCCCTGCCGGAAGAAGGACGTTATCAATCATTTCCTTGCTCAAAATGGTTGGGTAGAGTGATACCAGACGGATCAACATCATCAAGGCAAGAGCGGGTACCGAGACGCGCCAGAAAGGAAATGAATATCTAATAAGCCGGAAGATGAGTTTCCGTTTTTCAACGCAATTAATACAAACGCCCGACCAGCGTGGCAGCGGTTTCCCACATGTTTCGCATTTGTCTTTATTTTTTCCCCAGCCTTGCGGACGGTGTTGTTTCTCATGTTCCACGTCCGGGTTCGCATCTTGAACCAACGTTTCCAATTCAGGGGTTGCCAACTCAAACTTTGGCGAGACTCGGCGTGAGTAACGGGCAACTTCCATGGCATCCTCGGATGTTCTGACCTTGAGGATATTGTTACCGTACATCTCAACGATCTCAACAGCCTCAACTGAGGTGAGTGGAATCTCACGAAGTTGATGCTCCGGCGCGCCGTTCTGATTAAAAGCGATGAGGCGTCTATCAGTAGCAATTACCCAATCTTTGCCATAGTTGCCATCAAACCGCAGATCGGTTGAAATAGCGACTTTGATTTCTTCCCCGTTTGCGAGTAGTGCCTGTACCCGCTTTTTTAACTCTTCGGGCACTTCTTCCATTGATGTTAACTCTTCGTCAGCCGGTGGCTCAGATGCGGAATTTTCATTGAAATGTTTTTTCCGTAGAAAATCCCGCCGCACGTTGGATGACTTCGGCGTTATCCCTCGCATAAATTAAAAACCCCCACAAAGTAGTTAAAGGCGTGGTTTATCAGCCTATATTAAACAGTTAAGATATGTTATTTAACGTAAAATATAGGAAAAGGGTTAAATTAAAATGCGAAAAATTGACGAAAAGTGCGGATATAAGCGAAATTAGCGAATTTTATCACTTATAATCTCAATTTATTAATCAATTTAGGGATTCGGTGGGGATGTACAAATCAATACTTCCATAGACTCATCGCCTGTGTTCTCAATACCATGCTCACACCACGGTGGGAGATGAATGAATGTTCCTGCTTCAACGGGCACCTTTTCACCGGCGAGTGTCATCACTCCTTTTCCTTTTAGAATCACGTAGCATTCCTCGGTATGGTGGCTCCCCGGTTCCAGAACAACGTGTGGTGGCACAAAAAACACCACTAAACCCAAGTTTTGTGCGGGCGCGTTCGGATTGGCAGGATGCACGACACGTACACCGATACCATCACAGCCCGAATACTTTACAGGCACGCCGTCTTGAACCGTGACAACATTCGCTTGCACCTGATGTGCAGGTTTCGGAATAGGAGGTTCTCCTTGATATCCTTTGAACATAGTAATTTTTGCCATTTTTTTCTCCTCTATTAAAGTAGTAGGCACACGCCGTGTGCCGCGACATCGAGACGAATCTACCAATCTCGCGTATAACCTGCGATCCAACCACCGTCCACCGCGAGGACAGTACCATTGATGTAACTTGCATCTGGCGAAACAAAAAAGAGCACGGCTGCTGCGATTTCAGTCGTTTGCCCCGGTCTTCCAAGCGGAATATGCGATAGCAGACTCGCAGCGTTTTCTGTGTACGCGCCGTCATCCCCGTAAAAGAGTGCCTTCGTACCACGCGTCAGCGTCGAGCCCGGGGCAACAGCATTTACCAGAATCCCTTCCGGTCCCAGTTCCAACGCCATTGAACGCGTCAAATTGGCAACACCTGCTTTCGCCGCGACGTAAGCACTCTGTAAGCGCAGTGGCACCAATCCCGCAATAGAACTGATGTTGACAATACGTCCAGTCGCGTTTTCGGAGCCAGACTTGCTGTGAGTATCCAAGATATACGGGATAACAGCACGGCTCGTCGTAAAAACACCCGTGAGGTCTATTTCTAAAATCCGTTGCCAGTCCTCTAAGGCGTACTGATGAATCGGCACTCTATCACTTCGCGTGTTAATGCCGGCATTGTTTATCAAAATCTCAATTTTGCCAAAATGCGCCGCAATTCGAGCGGCAACAGCCTCCATTTGTGCTGCGTCTGAGACGTTGCCTTCCACAAACAGACAGGTCCCACCCATTTCTTTAATCTCTTCGGCGGTTTTCATGCCTGCCTGCGTGTCTATGTCAACGATTGCCACTTGCGCGCCATTCTCAATCAGTGCGTCTACGGTAGAGCGACCAATGCCATTCGCACCCCCCGTAACAACTGCTACCTTTCCCTCAAGTTCAACCTTCATCTGATTTCTCCTTTCTGCCGCGATTTTCTGTTTACACCTACGGTGTAGATAGTTATGAGCCTCGCGATTCCTGAAGTTTTCGGAAGCCTGTAATGCCATACGTTTATGTAGCAGGTTTTGGCTTGCGAGCTACGCCAAAAAATAGCAAGACAATTAAACCTGTGCCACCGACAATTCCGATCGCTGAAGAGATACCGAACGCGGCAGGAAGATAGCCGCAAAACAGAGCGATGACTGCCACAGTGAGGCTATATGGCAGTTGTGTCCTCACGTGGTGAAGCGGGTCGCAACTACTGGCGATGGAGCTGAGGATTGTTGTATCTGAAAGCGGCGAGCAATGGTCGCCGAAGATAGCACCGTCTAACACTGCACCGAGACAAATGATCGTTGTTAGCCCGTAACTTCCATTATCAAGCGAGAACGCCACGGGGATCGCAGTGGGAATCAGGATAGCCATCGTGCCCCAACTTGTTCCGGTTGCAAAAGAGGTAACAGATGCGCATATAAAAACGAAGACCGGAAACCAGAGTGGCGACACAACATCGCTGAGCATCGTTGAGAGGAATTGACCCGTCATCAGTCTATCGCAACTCGCTTTTAACCCCCACGCCAATAACAGAATACTCAGCGGCGTGAGGCTTCCCTTCACACCACTCCAAACAACTGGGGCGATATCCGAGAATCGTAGTTTTGAGAGCCAGCGTGCACAGATAATTGAGACGATAACCGCACTCGCTGCCGCACAGGCAAGAATCTTGACATTGTCTGCCTTTGAAAGAGCATCTCGCCAGGCAGTTAGGGAAAAATAGACCCTGTACCCTCACCATCTATCCAGAAACCCCCCAGCAGCAATCCGAAAAGCGTTAAGAGCGGTAAAACTGCTGAGAATGGTTGTGTGACAGCATTTGGTAGACTGGTGAAAGATGAGGTGTGTCCAAGTGCTTTAGCATCCGGGGCGGCGACATCTCCTGTTTCCCGGGCACGCCTTTCCGCTTTGTACATCGCACCGTAATCTCTGCCGCTGATCGCATTGACGATAACAAAGATAATCGTCAGGATACAATAGAACCGGAAACTGAGCGCGTCAAAGAACATGGAATACCCATCGCGTTCGAGACCAATTGTTTTGGCGATATCTTCAAAGAGACCCACTTCATAACCGATCCAAGTGCTGACAAATGCGAGACCGGCAATCGGTGCACTCGTGGAATCCACAAGAAACGCCAATTTCTCACGACTGACGCGATGGTGATCCGTGAGTGGACGCATCGTGGGACCCACACAGCATAGCGTTAGAGTAATCCCCGATGAAGATGGCAATCCCCATCAACCCGGTGATAAATTGGGCTGAACGGGGTCCCTTTGCAAACCGAGAAAGCCACACAACAACGCCACCAATACCACCGGACGCTACCACAACGGAGATCGTCGCCATGATGAGGCAAACAAACAGGACGACCCAAAAATTGAAAAGATCCACACCATCATTTCCAATGCTCACGGCACGTACAAACCAAACAATTTCTGTGAAAAAACCGATTGGGATGGCACCTTGCTGATACCACGAGAGCACAATCCCCACACCTACCGCTATGCTGAGACTTGGAAGCAGTCGCGTTGTCAGAATCGCTAACGTAACGGCAAGTAACGGCGGAATTATGCTGTACCACACAAGGATCTCCGCATCGCCCACCTGTTCTGCTCGCCACTTAAGCGCAAGGCTGATGCCCAAAAATATTAGAAAGCCGATAACATATTTCAATTTAGAATTCATGAGATTATTCAGCCTTCAGGTTCGTAGGACGTCTATAATACTTCTGTTTGTGTGTATAATAGCACTTTCAGGTGTAGCTGGCAAGCCAAAACTTGCTCTGTGAAGGTCAGGATAGAAGGCAAGCCGGAACCGTTGTATAAACCTTGACAATAGCGATGTATGTCAACTATAATTGTAAAAAATCGTTAGAAAGATAGGAATGAGTCGTGATAAACCAAGCAATCCCGAAAGTTACCGTTGTTGGCAGCCTGAACGTCGATCTGGTATGCCGTGCAACGCGGCGACCCAGCAAAGGCGAAACGCTCATCGGCGATGCTTTTGACATTTTCACAGGTGGAAAAGGATTTAATCAGGCAACTGCCGCTGCACGGTTAGGTGCCGAGGTCACACTCATCGGAAGTGTCGGTGCCGATCTTTTCGGAGATATGCTACTCGCAGCAACGGAAAACGAACACATTAATAGTAGGTTTGTCACAAAACGTAGGGAGTGTCGGGACGGGTGTGGCAACTATCGTCATCGAACCGGATGGCGACAATAGCATCATCGTCGTGCCGCGCGCAAATATGGCACTTACAACAACAGATATAGACGCTGCTGCCGACGACATCGCAAACGCCGATGTTCTACTTTTACAATTAGAGACCCCAGTGGCAGCGTCCGAGCACGCTGCAGCGATTGCTAAGGCACATCGGACGACAGTGATATTAAATCCCGCACCTGCGCAACCACTGCCGGATAGTCTGTTAGCGTCTGTTGATATTCTCACCCCGAACCAATCCGAAACCGAGTTATTGTCGGGCGTAAAAGTTGACAATCACGAAGATGCGCGCCGCGCAGCAGGGGTGTTGCGCACTCGCATGATGGATGCCGAAAGCACTGCTGTTGTCTTAACGCTTGGAGAGCAAGGGGCATTGATGTTGACAGCAACCGAGTCTGAACATGTTTCGGCATTGACTGTTGATGCCGTGGATACGACGGGCGCAGGGGATGCGTTTTGTGGAGCACTCGCGACCGCGCTGGCAAGTGGCGAGGCTTTACGAACAGCGGTCGGGTTTGCAAACGCTGCGGGTGCAGCAGCAGTCACTGTCGTTGGTGCAACGCCTTCTATGCCAACGCGCGCAAAGATTGCTCGTTTAACGTGAGTTTGATAAAAAAACGGAAAGGGATGTCAATGCTAAACCTACTTGACCGAACCGCAAGGAAAATTAGAAAAATGAAAAAAACAGTGCTAAATCCCATATTTATAATGCTAATCGTAGGCATCGGATTCAATACATCTTTCTTACAGGTTTCTTCCGCAGCAGAAAAATGGGAATCGAACATGAGAAAAGACTTCGCAAAGGTGTTGCAAGAAAAGAAAAAGCCTGCAGAGAAACATCGTGAACTCATCCTCAAGTGGCAGAAACAGGGACGACTTTCCGCGATCCTCACGCTTTATACTGCAAGGGAGAATAACCGCCAAGCACAGCAACCTGCCTCTCCGACAATCAAGGCAGCGTTCTATTACGGCTTGGGGTACGTACATGCCCTCCAAGCAACAGAAACCGGCGAAGAGTTGGATACTGCTGTTGCTTATTTACAGCACGCCGTTGAGATGGATCCAGATCTATTTTGGGCGCGCTTCAACCTCGGCGGTATCTATCAGGAACAGAGCAAAGATGATTTAGCACTTGCTGAATTTGAGGCGTGTGTCCATTTAAACTCCAATTATTATCCTGCTTACTATCGGATGGGTGAAATTCACTTGAAACGGCAGGACTACATGCAGGCACTCCATGCCTTTGATGCAGCGCGGAAGATAAATAGAAAGTGGGAATATCCGCAATACGGTATCGGTTTGGTTTATTTCGCTCAGGGTGAAATCGACCGTGCCCGCCAGACCTTCGAGAGTATTACCCAGAAAAACAAGAAGTTCGCACCCGCCTACTTCAAACTTGGGCAGGTCCTTGCTACAGAGGGGTTCTTTGATGAAGCGTTAAAAGAATACGCGAAAGGATCGCAATATCAGGACTACTCAGCACAAATCCTTTATGAATTGGCAGTTATCTTCGATGAAAAAGGGAATACGGATGGTGCAATTAGAATATATCAACGCGTAATTGAGGTTGAGCCGACGCATGCGAAAGCACTTTTCACACTTGGCGAGAACCTCTATGCCAGTGGCGATACCACGGCAGCGGTGCAATATTACCGACAAGCATTGTCCGGCACACCGGGTATTAAGGACGCTTTCTATGAACCGCTCGAACCTTACTTCGCAGGGTTGATGACCCCCGATGAAGCGATGCCACTCCTTGAGAAAGCAATGTTAGTCCTTCCTGACGATCCGCGTTCCTACTTTTATGCGGGTACGCTTGAAGCCGATACGGGCAACATCCAGAAAGCCATTGAGCATTACCAAAAGACCCGTGAAATTATAGAAGCAGATCCAAGTCATCTGCAAATGGAACTCCTCTTAGGGGATTTCAATGATGTTTACTTAAAACTCGGTGAACTTTATCACCAGCACGGAGATATAGAGACTTCTGCTGTCTACTTTAAACGCGCATTGGCATTAAATCCAGAATTAGCGAATAGATTTATCGCGCAAGGGCAAAGTGCTTTCGAGGCGAGGCACTATCAAGAGGCTATTGAATCTTTAAATACGCACCTCCTGTTGTTTCCGGAGGATGTTGGTGCTGTCTATCTGCTGGGACAGAGTCACGAGGCTAATGGCGATATAGACAACGCTCTCATCTTTTATAAGCGCACCTTGACATTAGATTCACAGCAACCAGATGTGCTTTTCAAGATGGTTCACATTTATCGAAACCGAGAGGCACATCAGCAGGTAATCGACACCTTACAGAAGATTATTGAGATTGCACCCGACACGACCGAGGCACACTACCTACTGGCATTGTCATATCTCACATTGGAACAGCCGGATGCTGCCCTGCCCGCGTTTCTCGCAACTGTCCGACTAAACCCTAATGATGTCTCTGCGCATTACCACGCAGCGATCTTGTTTGAACAAAAGGATGACATAGACAACGCCATCGTACATTACGAGAAAACGATAGGTCTTGATACCACGCTGCTTGAAAGTCCTTTTTTTGAGGTGACAGAGGTAGCACCATTTTTCCGACTCGGTGCAATCTATCGCGAACGCAATGATGAAGATAACATTATTCGGGTCTATCAACCGGTGTTGGAAATTGAACCTGAGCATCCAGAACTTCATCATCTTCTTGCTGTCATCTTTGAGAAGCGCGACGAACGTGGCATGCAAAATGGGCTTGCAAGCTACGCCCTAAAGGCCATTCGGCACTACGGGTTGGCGAATCAATACAACCCTAAGAAGTTCGACTGGCACTATAGTTATGCACGTCTGCTCGACCAACATGCCGAGACGCTCGGAGATGACTATCATAAACATGCTGAAATGGCTGTCAAGGAGTATACCGCGACCCTCGCTCTGAAGTCAGACTATGTAGATGCCTATTTCTACCGTGGGATGCTCACACTCCGCCACAGACAGATTGGCAAAACGCTTTATCGCTATAGCCAAATTTTAGAGGATTTCAGGCAGGTGGCTGAAATCCAACCCAGAAACCGTGAAGCGAACTATCAGCTCGGAGTCATTTATCTTGAAATAGATCGGCAGCGCCTTGCCAAAGATGTTTTTGAAAATATGCTCTCTTACGCGCCAAAATATAGGGGCATCCACTTGCATCTGGGGCAGATTGCGGAATGGGAACAGGCGTGGAAGCAGGCAATTCAACATTATCAAGCGGAGGCTGCGCTTCTTCAACAACCCCTTGAAGAAGGGGACAACATTGCCATCAAGACATATCAACGCCTCGGCAATCTTTACTATGCCCACGCTTTAGATTACAACGCCGCGAAAGAGACTCTGGAAATGGCACTCGCTTTGGACGACACTCACGTGCCGACACTGCTCAACTACGCCAACAACCTCTTCAGTATGGATCTACTCGGCGCAGCGACGGAACAGTTTGAACGGGTAATACAATTGGAACCCGGCAACTTGACAGCAAACTACAACCTCGCGCTCATGTATGAATACAGGGAGAAGCGTGAACAGGCGAGAGCGCAATGGCAACGTTTCCTTGAACTCAATCCACCCGAACAGTGGCGGATTGAAGCGGAGGAACACCTGAGTCAGTAGTTTTCTTGGACTTTTTTAAACACGGCTAACTGCCGATAGCAAGCCAACAACGGCGGTGTGCGAATCTTATACCCAGAATGTCAATGAACCAGCCTTGTGATTTCACACCTTGTGCAAAGATTAAAAACCTGCAGGCAACGCTTCAGACTGCACTTATCGGGGTGCCAAATCGAGCACTATTCACAGGTCGCCTCTACTAACGACATCGCTATTGCGCGTGGCAAGCAGGTGCAGCAGAGGGAACACTCATCATTGCGGAGCACCAGACCGCTGGGCGAGGCAGATATGGTAGGAACTGGGAAGCACCGTCGGGGAAATGTCTCCTTGTGTCTGTTGTTCTTAAACATCGGCTCTTCGCGATCAGGTTACACTCCCTAATCTCGTCGGTGCCATTGCAATAGCTGAAGCGATTCGCACGACGCACGGACTGACGCGCGGATTAAAATGCCTACCGATGTCCGGATCGCAAAGAAGAAGGTCGCCGGAGTCCTAACAGACTCGCCTATGATGAGGCGTATCAACCTTTTTGCGTCTTGGGTTTCGGGGTGAATGTCAATAACGTCTTAGGGGATTTTCCGCCTGAATTGCGTGGAACCGCAACCTCCGTGCGTATAGCGTGTGCGCTCTCGGAAGGTCAAGACACTGAGGTTTGTCGTATCTCGCTATTATGTGTATATACTCTGTCATCTTGAGGATACCTACCTGCAACTGAAAGCAGGTGAACAGATTTAATTACGAACCAATTTGAGGTCTTGCGGGAAATGAAGGTAGTCATTAGTGCTTGTCTCCTCGAGTTCGCTGCCGATACGACGGCGGCGATAGCCGAAACCAAACAGCGATAAAGCAAAGAAAAGACGTCAACTTATTCCTGTCTGTCCAGAGGAATCGGGCGGTTTACCAACGCCGCGTCCCCCCGCAGAAATCGTTGGCGGCGATGGCAATGATGTTCTGGATGGCACAGCAAAGGTTATGACTGACGACGGTACAGATGTAACGGAAGCATTTTTGAAGGGTGCCCATCACGCTTTGGAGGTTGCTCAATCAAACGGCGCGACACACGTAATTCTGAAAGCAAGAAGTCCGTCTTGTGGCTGTGGCGACATCTATGATGGCACGTTTTTCAGGGACCCTCACGTCTGGTGACGGCGTACCACTGCCCTTCTGAACGACACGGTATTACCGTTACCACCCTGTAACGCCCACAGATAACATTTAGCGAAAACATCCACTGCCCAGATTAATAGTTTAAGAGATATCGAACCTGTTCACCAATGTCAGGGCTCCGCATCAACGACTCACCGACAAGCATCGCCTGCACACCCGCTTCCCGTAACTGTATAACGTCTTCACGCGAGTAGATACCGCTTTCACTCACCACAATCTTATCTGCTGGAATAGCTTCACGCAACCGAAACGTTGTGGCAATGTCCGTGTGAAATGTGCGCAGATCTCGGTTATTAATGCCGATAATTTGTGCATCAATATCTAACGCGATGGCTAATTCTTCTTGTGTGTGTACCTCCACCAAACACGCCAGTGACAACGACTCTGCAACATCCATGAATGTCCGTAGTTGTGCCGCTGTCAATGCCGCCACAATCAGTAAGATAGCATCTGCCCCCCGCGACGCGAGCTTGGTAGATATGATACGGATCAATTGTGAAATCTTTTCGGAGGAGCGGTACATCAACGACTTCTCGGATTGCGCGCAGGTAGGCGAGTTCGCCTGCGAAAAAATGTTTGTCTGTCAGCACAGAGATCGCAGCAGCACCATTTTCGACGTAGGTTTCGGCAATTGACACCGGCTCGAAATCCTCGCGGATAATGCCTTTACTGGGCGATTTTTTCTTCACTTCGGCGATAAGCTTAACGGTCCCGTTGCCTGTGATGGCGGACCGACTTTTGACAGCAAGTTTTGGCTTGCAAGCTGCGCCAAAATCCCGTGTCGGCGGGAGGTTCATAACCTCCGTTTCCAACTGCGTAAACGGCACCTGTGCTTGTTCGGCTACCAACTCTTTCCGTTTATGTGCGATGATCGTGTCTAATATCAATCCGTTTATCCCTCTCTCCGTAAAAGGTTACAGGTTAACTATTCGACATTGACTTGAGAGCCCTTAGTTTCGCCAACGCTTCGCCTGAGTCAATAGATTCTGAAGCAAGTTCGATACCCACTTCAAGGCTATCTGCTTTCCCGCTCACAGTAATCGCTGCACCAGCGTTTAGCACAACAATGTCGCGTTTGGCTCCCTTCTCACCCTTCAGCATATTGACTATAATTTCAGCATTCTCCTCCGGCGCGCCACCCAGAAGTGCTTCAGGTTCTGCTCTCGGAATTCCGAGTGTTGTGGGATCAAGCGTATAGGTTTTAACGGTACCGTTTCGGAGTTCTGAGACGCGTGTGGTTGTTGTGGTTGTGATGTCGTCCAAACCGTCATCACCGTGTACGACAAACGCGTGCTTACATCCCAAGTTGTTTAATACATTTGCATGAGTTTCAGTAAGTTCAGGGGCATAAACGCCCAACACTTGTGCCTGCGCGCCCGCTGGATTGGTCAGCGGACCTAAGGCATTGAAAATTGTCCGGATGCCAATCTCCCGCCGCGGTCCGATAGCGTATTTCATCGCACCGTGCAGTGCTGGTGCAAATAGAAAACCGATGCCGACCTCATCAATACATCGTCCGACGTGTTCGGGACCAATTTCAATGTTCACGCCTAATGCCATAAGTACGTTCGCGCTGCCGCTCTGTCGCGTTACGCCTCGATTGCCGTGCTTTGCGACCGGCACGCCTGCTCCGGCGGTAACAATGGCAGAAGTTGTTGAGATGTTGAAATGGTTTAAACCTGTACCACCTGTGCTACACGTGTCAACAACCAATGAATGTTTTGTGGGAACGGGTGTGGCTTTGTCACGCATGACGCGTGCCGCACCCGTAATTTCTTCTATTGTTTCGCCTTTAAGCCGTAATGCTGTGAGAAAACAGGCGATCTGAGCATCTGTCGTCTTACCTTCCATGATTTCGTTCATGGTGTCAGTCATTTCTGCTTCGGTTAAGGCATCCCCTGCCATAATTTTTTGAATTGCTTCACGGATCACGCAATGTTCCTCCTGAGAATATTTTACTCAAATTATAGCAGACACCCGCATATTTTTCAAGATCGGTCTTCTGGATCTCCAAGACCATTCAGTTTTCAGTTCCGATCTCGGTTTTCGTTCACAGATGTTAAGGTTTTCGCACAATATCGCGAGCACAGCTCGCTCCTACAGCGGAAAAACGTTCACGCATATAAAGTAAATATGTAAAACTAAATGACCCTATCTGGATCTCGGAACCGTTCAATTTTCGGCTTTCCATCTTAGCATTTCAATTTTTTTTCAGGCAGAAAACTTGTATTTTTTTGGCATACGGTATAACATATCTTTATATAATAAACAATTGGTATAAAGAGATGATCCGAAACTATAAACCGAGCGATCTGCAAACACTTCGACAGATCACCGCTATCTGTTTTGAGAAGGTGTCCATAGACAAAAATATCGAAGACCGGTTTGGGCGTATCGGCGATATGGGCTGGGAAGAACGCAAAATGTCCCATATTGATGACGATGCAGCCGCAAACCCGGACGGGCTTTTTGTGGCGGAGGTTGAAGCGGAGATAGCTGGTTACATCACAACCCGACTTAACCACTCAACTCGCATCGGTGGTATTCCCAACCTCGCTGTGCTACCGCAGTTTCAACGTCGGGGTATCGGTAGGCGATTAATTGAAAAAGCATTGGCGTATTTGCAGGCAGAAGGGATGCTTTACGCGCGTATTGAAACCTTGGAGCAGAACCCTATAGGCACCAGTTTTTATCTAACTTCG